CCAAGCATCCATCAGGTCTTTACTCTCAGAATGGGCAGAGGTGACTCATAAACACCCTAGCTGAAAATGTTTGACTTCAATGTTGTGATAGTCAGGATTGCAGAATCGTCTTTTGGGATGGTCAGTCAATCAGGTTGTTTTTTCATTCATCTCTACCCTGATTTCCAGCCTAGTTCCATTGTGGATTCAAGAAAAAAAAATTTTAAAATTGAAAAAGATCTGCATGTGCATGTTCAACGACTGTATTGTCAACATTAAGATACAAGATGATAAATATGTCGCAAAAGAAAACAAAGTTACACAAACTAATCAATGCTTTTGATCATTTTAAGGATCCATGTTAGATGGAATTGAAGTGGCTGTAATTACTGTAGGGTTGGACAATTCAGGATCAGATTAAATCATGAAGAAGGATCTATGCAAATTAGTTTTTATCTCGAACCCTTATAACACTTTCAACGAGGAGCAAGAATTACAATAGTTTATGTAGAGAAGTCGACTCTGTAGCAGCTTCGACATTATCAATAATGTGACCTGCTCCTAATCTGAACAGATTAGCAATCATCTTCACTTAGGATTCCAACTTCCAAAACATATAATGTTGCTGTGGAAATCAAAAACCACAAAAGGAAACAGTTTACTGTTTACAAGATCAAGTGAATGCAAAAGTCGTCATACTTTCTTCTAAGAAACTACTTGAAAAAGCCAGAAAGATCCCAAAAGTGGCAATCTTTGTTTCTCTTCAAGCAAGTTCTCACACAAACACAAGACTAGAATTCTTCTTTTCCCACAAAACCAGTTCGTTGGACAAGATTCTTTCGACAAAGAAAGGAGATCCAAGACTGCAAGCTAAGCTATTCACACATCCAAGAGTACAAACTAAGCTATTCGCGCGGACTGAAGCTCTCATCAAGCTAGTCGCAGCAAGATCGGATCTTTGGCATAAATATGCACCTAAAGTCATAAAGATCCGAACTTTATGGCAATTCAGGGCTCTTCAACACACAGAACGGACACAAATCAAGCTAAAAGGGTGCCCAAATCACGCACCTCGAAGACGAACTTATCGAGGAAGAATCTGACGGTGGGGAAGAACATCGCGAAGACAGGCAGGGCCAGGAAGTCTGCGTACGCGGGGTATGACTCCTGCTCCCATGTCATCGATCGGAAAGCTTCCACCACGTCCATCTGCCACCAGATCATGGAGCCGCGAGATCCGAAGAGATCGGATTTGAGAGGCGGCCGGAGCGAATCGATGAGGTGAAACGGAACAGACGAGCAATGAAAAGGATTTTATATTAATATCCACAATCGACTGGCGTCATGTGAAGTCTAGGAGGACGGCTTTCCGATGGCAGTTTTATGCGATCGCATGTCTCATTGTTCACAAATACATGTAGTGGTGATCGACTGGTGAATGGTCGCATCGACCTCCGTTGGAGCTCGGATTCGCCGGGTCTTGCAACCGCGTAACATGAATGAACAGTGAAATTTTGTTATTTGATCGCAGCCGTCCATTTCTTTGATTTAATTGGACGGTGTCGATCGAGTATCAAGAACATTGGATTAGACCAGATTAAGGATTTATGATGTTGACCGAGTCTGGTCGAACCTGTAGCAGGTCAACATCAAATTGACACCCGATGAATAGATCAAGACAATTTTGATTTTTCATTGAAAAGTGGGTCAAGTTCAATTACATCGAATCAATAAATTGTGTCAAAGGTCCAATTAAAGTGACTCATACATCGCAGGCATGTACAAATTGGGTCTTATTTGTGGCATATGTAACTGTCTAGATATGTGATCTCCATACCACCGTGATCCAGTTGCGATCGGACCGTTCACATCCAAAAAACATGGATGGACCCGGATAATGGACGGCTACGATAGAGTTTGATGAGGTAACCACTGGGAAGGATCCCGAAAAAGCCCTATTTCCACATCGAAGAGGGGAGACGAGCCGGAGGAAGAATGGAAGAGGAAGGTGGCGGGAAGGCACGACCGAACGAGGAGGATGAGGAGGCTACCTCGACCATGGAGGCGAGACCTAGCGAGCAAGAGCACGTCCCGTATGTCATCTGCTCCCCCTCTTCTCCGTCTTCCTCTTCTTCATCTGTCAGTCTTCTGTTTTGTTTGCTCTTCTCCTGGGAACGGCGACGAATCCGACAGGAAGTGACTCGGATCGTGCAATTTCCAGGTGAAACCTTGACTCCTCCTTCGGTCTCAACGTTCATCGGAAGCATTCGCCTTAGAAGCTTTAATATTTTGTTTCGCCTTTTCAGTGTCACCTGCAGCCAAGTTAGTCTGCCGGTTGGAGTTCTTTCAACTTCGGATTCGATATCTATTTTAGCCATACATAAACCTAATAGTCAGAATTAAAGCTAATTTCCACAAAAAATTTGTTTGGAAAAAGATTAACTTTATCTGTCAAATCTTCAAACTTCTCAGCATTTTCTTTAGATATTGATTTGAGAAAAAGTATAAAACCATACCAAAATTTTCGGGCATGAATACATCATAAGTTGATGATTATCTCTAAACCGTAGCCTTCTTGACTGTTGAACGATTCCTCAATATCTTATAATCAGTTATTTAGTTAATGTACCTGCTTAATTGCTTTCCTAGCTGGTGATGACTGGAAAATCATGTTTCAACCTTGACAGCGAAATAGATGCTGCAGAGTCTGAAGAGAAGCACCAGCGGTATGAAGCACTTTATTCCCGCCGTTTGAGGGCCAAGTACTTCTCCAAAAAGGCCCTAGATGGAGGTACAATTAAAGACTGAGCTTTTGTTCAAGTTCATCCTACGTAAATTCATTAAGTGATGAGATCACTCTCACCCTATGGCGTCCATATTTGTAGCAGGAAATCGATTTTCACTGATTCTCTAGATATGCATCTGTGTTCAAGGCTTCAAAACTAAACAATACAGCTCACTGCTGTATCTAGGTTTTAAATTTTCCACAGCGTCTTTAGTATACTTTTTATCCCCTCAATGACATAACCAAATTGCTGTTGAGTTTATTTTGAGATTAATTGTTTGGGTGTTAAACATGTTGTGTTTTCTATTTTTTTATCAATGTTATCTTGTCCTTGTTCACTTGCAATTAATGTCTTGCATTATTATTTCAGATGCACTTTCTTTTGACTTGCATGCAAGAGCCTTATTGACCACTTTTGTATGAGTTACTTATTTTCCTATAAAGGCTATGTAATTCTGTGAGGCTCTTGGCTCATAAACTAGATGATGCACTATTATTCATGATAGGCCCCAATCCAAGCTCCAAGGCTTAAGTCATACCTGATTTTGAGAGGATCTCAAAGCATCAGATAGTGTGCAAGAAGATCTTAAATGAGACTGAAACCAAATCATGAACCCTAGGAGTCTCTTGTGGATCCATGAAACCAACTCTCAGAAATCTTTTTCAAGATTGAAAGACAGCTACAGAACAATCAAACTAATGAGATTGCAAAACTAAAAAGATTATTTTATTGTATGGATCCAATAAAATCAAAGATATTGGTCCTGTTTCAGCTTAATTTTTGTTGTTCTGTTTCTTTTTTTATTTTTTGCTGCATAATTGAGATAAGGAATTCCATATTTATTTGATATCTTCTGGTAAAACATAATCAGCATCTCTTTTCTGATTTAACGTTTTGTTAGACCATGATATGCAATCTAACTTATCCATATAAAATTTTCTACTTCTGTAATCACTTATTGTACTGTCTGCATTCATCCTCAGGGGACATATATGGCCATGAAACAACTATTGATAACGAGATTATAAAGTCAAGCAGGTAAACTTCATGTTTCTTTATATTTCAAACTAATTCAATTTTAATTACTCTTTTTCTGGTCCTATTAGATGGCCCTGTACAAGATCGTTTGCCGACCCAATCAAATACATGGAAGATCAGAATCAGTCATCTTCTGAAGCAGAAACCAACGCTGCAACCGACAAGAACCAGGAACCTAAGAAAAGCTGTTAATAATGATTTGAAAGATGCTATGGTGAGATATAAGGTTATTTACAACTATGGGTTATCTTGCTGTCTCTTTCATTGCCTTCATCCTCATGGGTTATTGCAGCCAGGATACTAGGACATCAAAAGATACGGAAAGAGGTTAGCTGCCAAGACTGGCTACAAGTGTCATCATGGGGCACTCAAGCTTTCACCAAATTGATGAGGGAATTCTGCTTACATTTGAGTAGTAAAACATGAGAAATGTTGTTGGTCTACATGGATCCTCTATAATACTTATCTTGATATTTCTTATTGAACAACTATGATAAGACCACTTTATCTAAATTCTAAAATTTAAGGTTATTGCTATGGGAGACTTTTGCTGGTTTATCTTCGATAAAGTTGGTAATGGTGGATTGATTGTAGTTAAACTTAGAGAAGCAAAAAAATTATGCAGTATTTTGTGTTTATTTTTTGAAATCTGACTTAAGCGGCACTAAATAATTCTCACTTGGTTTCTTGAGCTGTTTGTTTTCTATTTAGAACTGTACAAAACTGAATCAGAGCTGCGTGCTACTGCAATATGATCCCACTTCAAGTGCAAGCAGCATACCAAGAAAGCTCCATGCATCACCTGATGGAAAACTTGTTTCTCTATAATTAGGTATTCTTATAACTTGGGTTCTTAAGAGGATTAAAGTATACAGGATGCTTCTTACAGATCGGTCAATTGTCGGAAATGTTCAAATCAGCTATTTCATTCCTCTACGGAAAGGATTTCTTTGTTACTCCATATACATAGTTCCTTCCCAAAAAGGAGGGGGGGGGGGGGGGTTTCGATGCAGTAAAGTTGATAAAGGGTAGATAACCTGATATTAGATATATATTAAATATGTTAGGAAATAAATTTTAACCAAGAGATGTGACAATTCCTTACAATGTTAAAAAGGATCTGTAAGCACATTATTCAAAATATTTGTTTTATTTTATTCAAATATGCCGAAAGCTAAAGCGCTTCTCCTGTTCCCAACTGTCACTGCCTCTTATGACTCTCATTCATCACAATCCGAAGCAGCGTCCCAATGCTTTCAGCAGCCTCAATTCCCGTCCTTTCCGCTCCCGTACCCGTCTCAATACCAGCAACATCAGTGGCAAAGCCACCCCCTCCGCCTCCGAACACCAACCTCTCCCTCCTCCACCTCTGCACCCACCTCCAAGAAGCCACCCAAGTCCATGCTCTCATGGTCAAGACCTCTCAAACCGCCGACCCCTACTCGGCCGGCCGCCTCGCCGAATTCTACGCCCTCTCCGACCGAGGCAGCCTCGAGCACGCCGAGAAGATCCTCGATTCGTTCCCACACCACCCGCCCACCTTCGTTTGCAACACCCTGATGCGTGCCTACTCTGAGAGGCGGAATCCCCTCCTCTCCATTAATCTTTATCGCCGGATGCTCGTGGATGCGGTGGAGGCGGATCGCTTCACCTTCACGTTCACGCTCAAGGCGTGCACGCAGCTGTGCGCGCTTGCGATCGGCATGCAGATCCACGCGCAGGTCGTCAAGCACGGTTTGGAGTCCAACGCTCATATCCGCAATAAGCTCATCCACCTGTATGCTGTTTCCGGCCGGATTCGTGATGCCCGCAAGGTGTTTGATGGAAGCACTGAACCGGATGTTGTTGCATGGAACAGCATGTTGCAAGGGTATGCTGACATGGATGATGGTGAGAATCTTCACAATCTATTTGACAGCATGCCGGCTCGTGATGTGGTATCTTGGAATACGATGATCGCATACTACATTGAAGCGGGCGAATTTGAGGAAGCCATTTTGATGTTTCGGTTGATGCAACAAAGCAGCGAGTGTGGACTAAATAGAGTGACTCTGATTAGTGTTCTTTCTGCTGTGACCCAGTTGGGAGCATTGGGCCAGGGTCAGTGGGTGCATGCATACATCAAGAGACATGCCATTGAGCTCGATGAGAACCTTAGTTCAGCACTGATCAATATGTACTCAAAATGTGGGTGCATTGAAGGTGCAATTTATTCATTTGAGACGACGCATCGGAGAAGTGTGGATACTTGGAATGCGATGATAGGCTGTTTCACAGCAAATGGCTGCAGTTTAAGAGCCATTGATCTATTCTCCAAGATGGAGGCTTCTGGTCTGATGCCGAATAAGATCACCTTCACCTGTGTTTTGAATGCTTGCAGTCATGGAGGGTTGGTTGATAGAGGCATCAGATATTTTGAGAAGATGAGTAATGTTTATGGCATCGAACCTGATGTTGGTCATTATGGGTGCATGGTGGATCTTTTCAGCCGTGCAGGTTTATTCGAAAAGGCTGAGGAGATCATCCAACGAATGCCAATTGAACCTGATAAAGTCATGTGGAAGGCCGTAGTAGGTGCTTGTAGAGTTAACAAAAACTATGAGTTGGGCGAGAAGGCTGGACTTAAGCTTATTGAAATAGATCCTGATGACAATGCTGGATATGTGCTGCTATCGAACATATATGCAATGTCTAACAATTGGAATGGGGTTTATAGGGTGAGGAAGCTGATGCATGATAGAGGCATAAAGAAGGTACCTGGTTGCAGTTCTATAGAACTGGATGGCCTGGTCCATGAATTCATCGCTGGGGATGCAGCTCATGCTAGAAAGAAAGAGATATATAAGATGCTTGATGAGATGGCTCAGAAGTTGAAGCGTGCAGGATATGAACCTGATACGACACAGGTTTTGCTTGACATTGAAGAGGCAGATGTGAAGGAGAGCTCTCTGGCTCTTCACAGCGAGAAGCTGGCAGTAGCCTACGGACTCATCAGCACCAGCCCAGGTGCCACCATTAGGGTGGTGAAGAACCTCCGCATATGTGGGGATTGTCATTCAGCATTGAAACTTCTCAGTCAGATTTATGACAGGAATATAATCGTCAGAGATGCAAACCGTTTTCATCACTTCAACAGAGGATCCTGTTCTTGCATGGACTACTGGTGATATACAGCTACTAATTGAAATTATATACGTACAGAAGAATTTCTTTCCCTTCACTGAAGAGTGTACATACGGGGAATCATATGAATGATGCAGCAAACTTCATTGGATGGATCAATGAGCCTTTATCTTCTTACATGAAACTCCCACCTCTGTTCCTATAATTCATCTTCAATCATCTTTCCCTCTGGAATTGGGATAACTTATCTTCAGATTATCACATTCTATGAGATACCTGTCTGCTAAAGACCTTCATTTTCCTCCAGTGGTGCTATTACTAGTTCTTATTCCAGCTTGACATTGGCTTCGGAAGTGCCCTAACTGCCTGTTGTCTTCACAAATACTGATTGGTTTTGGGGTGAAATCGAGTTGCTTGGTTTGTATGTTTATAAGGTACATAAGCATCCAGTCATATCTTGTCAGATGAGACCCCTTATTATTTGCTAAAATATTTTTTATTAACAGAGAATAGACTGTAAAGTTGCTTTCTTGATTGAGGAAACTATCTTTGTATCTATTTGCTGTATACATTGATCCTTCCTAAATCTCACATTGACAAGAGTCTGGTTTTGCTCAATATTCTTTAGTTTATTAAATAAGGTTGGATTTAGTTTGAGCTGGGATTTATATGTTGAGGTTGAATAAGCCCCATTCAACCTGAGTTGGCTAGGGGTTGAGATTTTTCAAACCTAATACACAAGCCAAAATTAAGAAAAGGAGAAGAAGAAGAAGATATAATCTTGCCTGGCCCAATAATTGTGTTGGATAAGCCTGGTTTGGGTCAACAAAAGCCAGGTTGCAGCTCTTCAGCATGTTGACAGAGTCTTCCATTTGAAGGAACTGAAGAAAAGAGAGGGTCTGCAGTGTAGCAAGTACATCACATATGACACACAAGTGCTGTGATCCATCGTCGTCGAGGTGTTTGATGAAAAGCTAAAGTCGAACCGTGCGCGTGAGACCTCAAAAGGAGCCCAACGCCATCCTCCTTCGCTTTTAGATGGATTTGTTCCCAAGCTTTAGCTTTCCTAAAAGGAGCGCCATGCCACCTTCCTCCATCATGCATTTGTCTGTGTTAGCCACAACGCAGCGTAGCTCATGCACAACCAACCCTTCCATCCTTTCTCTCACGCAGTCATGTTGCACCACACAAAGGCAATGGTTGAGTTAGGATGGATCCACACGATCTGAGCCCATCCATCAAAAGAACACAACCATCAACCATCATTTCCGTGACTTGAATTCTGATCACCAAAATCATCGAAAAGAAAATGATGTTAAAAAATTCGATTGTCGAGACGAAATATCGATAGTCAACTAATCGGATGAAAATTATTATAATAGATCTTAGTAAAAAAGGAAGAAAAAAAATGAACTCCTTCCAAGAAAAAACTCTTCTTTTTTTCCCACCCCTACCTCAGAATCTATATTTAAAAGAGTTCTCCTAAAAACCCTAATGATCATATAAATATATATTTCAATCATGAAGGGAACACAAGTTTACATGGCAAAGGAATTCACATCACATCCCAACAAAACCTGTAGCCTCACCCAGATAAGGCCTACAGGAAAAACCCCAAGAATATAGTCTTTGAAGACTTTTTCCTTGTGAATCCATCATTCTTTTTCCTCTCTCCTTGCAAGCAAAGGCACATCCTCTAACTTCCATACTTGCTCATCTAAATGTTCAAATATACACTAAAATAACATCTTAATATCTTCTCCTCATCATCCTTTGGTTTTGTGTCATATCATAATTTTGAGGAGGAGAAGTAAAAGGGAGGTAAAAGAACAAAGGAAAAGGAAGGTCTTATCAGCCAAACCTCATCAGTACAGACCATGTTCCTGAATGCTTGCTTTGTCATCACACTAAGGATTAGCATTTACACTTGGTAATTAACAAACCAAAGTGTGAAGAAGGCTTGAGTAATCTAAAGCTAAGTCTCTAAACTTGCTCGAGTCCCAAGGTCACCTTATAATGAAATGAGAGAGGAAGAGTTGAGGTTCTCGGTAAACTCATCTGTTGGAATCAGAGACTGTCTCAGAAAAATGCATGCACAAGTCATTGGGATGGTCCTGCTAGTACTATCTGCAACATAAACAATGACTCCCCATCTATCTTCTCACCCTCTTTCTTAACCAATATTTTGATCTTCCTACTCGTTCTCTTTTTTTCTTTTTTCTATGATGATTGAAAAAGACAACCAGTGCCAACAATGTGTAACTATCTCCTTCTCAGACAGAATTTTGAACCTAGTTATGGATGAATGTAATGAATTCCACCAAGAAAAGTATGTACTTAATTGGTTGGTTACTCGCATTAGGATCAACAAATTCTTTGATCTGCGGAGAAATTTATATGCTCCGGATGTAGTTAACAGGCACCTGTTCATTATATTTGGGCTATTTATGAATGAAGACTACCTGCATCAAGGCTGTTTGTGACTGTGGAGTAGATGATAAAACAGGTTTCATTAGTTTGAACTGACCTCATAAAGAAGAAGAACCTTGCCATATGAACATGGTTAGATGCTTGCTTAAATGTTGCATTAGTCTTCAATCATAAAAAAAGGTAGGAAATTGTAGACCATGTCAGATTGCACCGCCCAATTTACAGCATCTGGAGAATAACTAATTCAAGGGACTTGAAGATATATGAGGTCAGTTTCATCTCAATCTATGGGGAAATGCCAGTTATCATCCGGCTGAGCTTGGTTAGATATTGTCATGTAGGGTGAGTAACGAGAAAACCTCTTAGATTTGCTGAATCTTTTATTAACCTCCCGAGGTTAATAAAAGGCAAGTCCGTTACGTTGCTTCACACGCACCCCTATGTCCATTATCTCGCATCATTGTTTCAGATGGACCACCAAAAAATTTACGGTGGATATATATATATAAGCTGAGCATTCCAAAGAAGAAAAATGTCGATTTTGGATTTGCTTCCTCATGTATAGTTTCTTTGATTTGTGGTATGCCTTTGAACTGAACAGCTCTACTGGAAGGACATTGAAAGAAGAGCATTCCAGCTCATAAGAACAGATAGTAATTTGGTTTGAATTACAAGTTAATATAAGTTCAAGCAAGTGATCGTCAAAACCTTCTTGGTGCCATTAATGTTCAGTCTGGCGGATTGCTCGTATGATGTAAGATCTTTAAAACCAGAGGTGTTAAGTTGAAATGGAATGCAGTAAGTACATTGGTTCCAGTCCTGAAGTTTCCTACAATTCCAAATGATCCAAATGATTGTGGCAGAACCTTTTGAGATCCTAAACATGATATCACTGGAATGGTTGGCAATGTCAGGTTGCTAGCTAGCTCGAAGCTTGTAATAAGGCAAGTAAAGAGGGAAAAACAAAGCTAAGCATCAGAATAAAATAATGCAAGCTAAAGAAAACCTGGTATTATAATGTTGCTTTGGAATAAAGAAACTGACAGGGGTGAGTTGGAGGGAGTCAGGAGTGTCTTCCTATAGATTTTGGATCATCCCCAATGTTGGTGTAAGCAATGGCAGCAGCCAATCCATTTGGTTGCAAAATTGTGACAGAAACTTCAAAGATTAATCTCTCTTAAGTGCATCATGAAGAAATCTTAGCACTGTAACATTTACTGATTTATGAATCTGGCCTTTTTTTTTTTTTGTAATGAGACAAGAATAGCTACTGTAGAGTGGCATTGGTTCTGTAGAGTGATACCTTTAACCAGACCAACTTTGATTCATTTCACTGCTATGGTTGCTGAGAAGAGGGGAGACACTGTAAGGCCTAATCTTTTCACCTCTGGTTACAGCTGGTACTTGTGTCCTTTGTTCAACTCCTTGGGTTTTGGAATCTTTGGCCTGACACATTATTCATTTCTCCATCTCTTATATTGTGTGATATGCAAGCATCGGATGATACAGCTCTTTTAGATCCTTTTTGCTGTTGAAATCTGGGTTTTATGAGTTCTGGCTTATATGGTTGTCTGCCTTCTGTCCTAATGCCATTTATCCATTTTCTTTTATTCATGTATCTTGTTGTGGTGAGTGTGTTCAGTAGGTAAATTCTGCTTTTTACAGATTCAGGAACTTTCTCTTTCACCTGCTTCATGTTTATCTTTGTGAGCTTATGATCCATTCTATTGGGCAGTGACATTAGACTGACCGAGATCGAAGTCAGTAGGTAGTCGTTCTTTGCTGGCTTGCCTTGATAGATCTAGGTTGTGTATAAGAGGCATTGGTATGGATATGCATGGAAAAGATGGGTGTAACTCACTCAAGAATGAGGATAATCTGGACTACAACTACTCTGGGAATTCTTCTGATTGGCAACAATGCAATCCATCCATAGGTTGTTTGGATTCTGGAAATCCTTCGGCCGCTGTTAGCCAAGGAAATCAGATTGGTTCCACCCCATGCTCATCGATTTCCATGGCTGACCCTTTCAGTGCTGGTCTTTGGAACCTGTCCACAGAATCAACAAGCTTGGATTTGTGCAAAGATAAGTTGCAGGGGAGCAGCAATCAAATCACCGGGAATTCGATGTCGGTCGGAGGAACTCTATTACAAACTGGTTCTGGAGTTCTTCACCAAAGTCTATCACATTTCCCATCCGATTCAGCTTTCATCGAGAGGGCTGCAAGGTTTTCATGCTTCGGTGGTAGTGATTTAGGTGGCTTGATGAATCCTTATAGCGCAGCTCAATCACAAAGTCCTCATTCTAATGCTTCAAGAGAGAGCTCCGGAGCTCAGATTCAGAAGAATGAAATCAACATGATGGAAGCTGTCAGGGGTGGCTCATTGTCTACCACTGACCATGGATCAAAGGAAAAGGATAATTCACATGCAGCTGGGAATTCTTCTTCCACACTGCCTGCCGCTATGAAACGGAAAAGACCCAGTGAGGTAGTTCTTATCCCATTTCTCTCGCACATTCTTTTGTCTCTTCTCCATCGATCACAAGTAGGCATCTTAAGGAACACTACATTGTAGGACATGGCATTAGATCAAGCAAAGGTGGCCTCACAGATATCTGGTGAAATGGATGATGACAATATGGAACTCGAAAAGAAAGCCGAGCACAACAGTTCAACTGCTGCAACTTCCAAGCCCGGAGGGAAGCAGGTCAAAGATAGCAATGAATCGTCGAAGGAAGATTTCATCCACATCAGAGCAAGGCGTGGCCAGGCAACAAACAGCCATAGCCTTGCAGAAAGAGTAAGATCCTGACTCCTATACAGATTTCTTGTTCACCAGTCTGCAATTATTTCATTTGGTCTATATCGATCCATATTTATCTTAGGTGAGAAGGGAAAAGATCAACGAGCGAATGAAGCTTCTTCAAGATCTTGTTCCTGGTTGCAGCAAGGTAGCTTTCTTGACTTGTCTTCAGAATTCAACATATGAAGCCTGTTCTAAGAATTCTTGGTACTGCCAACATTTGAATATAGGTCACGGGAAAGGCAATGATGCTTGACGAGATCATCAACTATGTTCAGTCACTACAACAGCAGGTTGAGGTATGATTTATGATCCAAACACGTTTTGTTATGCCTTGAGACATGAAACCTCTGCTGAAGAGTTGACGATTTATTTCATTCTTTTCATTGCCAGTTTCTGTCAATGAAGCTTGCAGCTATTAATCCGAGGCTGGATATCGACATCGAGGCTGTACTTTCGAAATATGTAAGTGGCAGCAGCCTTTGATCTGATGAAACTAGAAATTTTTTGTTGCTTCCACTGCAGAAGTGTTCATCATCTGCTTGTTTATTTAACAGATGAGTGATGCTTATTATCATTGCATCAAAGCCACTCATTAATTTGGGTAATCCACTCTCATGTTCTTCCATATGACAGCTGCTTCAGACCTGCAACGGCCCCTCAGCTGCCATGGGTTCCTCATCAGGCATTGTTCGTCCTCCTCCATTACATCCATCTCAACAGGGTCTGGCTCAAGCTGGGTTATCAGGCAATGTAAATCTGCCTGATCTATTTAGAAGATCGATAAATGCTCAAATGACTGCACCACAGGGATACAAAGAACCAAAAATGCAGGTATACTTACTTGTCTGGTCATATTCTGACAGCATCATGGGCTGATTTCATAGACTTCTATTCTGTGTGATATCAGAATACAATAGTTTATCAGTTCATAACTTGTAATGATACTTCCGAAATCCTAAGATGAAAAAAATGAGTTCAATAAAAAGGAAACAGAAGGATCTAAGAAAATGTTGAAGAAATTCAAGACACAATGCACAACTTTCATTGATGAAAATGCTAACCAGTTGAATCATAATCCTCCTTTTCTGTGATAGCAAATGTGGATTTTACAGCTGATATTGGTGAAAAATGCTTAAATTTGCAGCTGTATATTGCATTCAAATCAACTTTTGTTCAACTTGGTCAAGACTTCAGCTGAACTTGAAGAAAAAACCTTTCTTAATCATTTATCTCTCTCTCTTGTTTTATGTGAAATAATCACTCATCTATAAAATGTTAACATCTCCATAACCTTTTCCGCATTGTGATTTCTCTTATCACTAATTCAGTTTTTATTTCTCTTGTTCAATCCAAGAAGGAACCCTATCTTCTTTTCAGAAACCTGTATGTTAGTTCCGCATCAAGGAAACAACCAACTTGTTGGATTCATCAGAAACTCAAGAATTTATGAACTTAATGTGCATCTACCTATGTTGTCACATCACATAATCATCAGCTAACGATAAATATTTACAATCTATAGTTTCTAGTTCTTGGTGGCACTTAGCTCTGCTTTTATGTGCAGGTTCCTAATGCATGGGATGAAGAGCTCCACAATGTTATGCAAATGGCATACAATGGCACTGTCAATCTCAATACTCACAGAGTTCAACAGTAAACCTCAACATGTGCATGCAGTATCCGATCATGATTCTGCAGTTGTTGCTGACTGAACTGAGAGTTGCAAAGGCTCCAACAAAAACTTCACTATTGCCTTTGAACATCTTGTGCTTATTGGTTTTCGGGTTCGATCTTCTGCTAGAAAATTATGAAAGATTAAGGGGAAGATGCAGGCTGCACACTCATCTGGAAAACCATATTTCTCACTGAATAAATCTGAATCCTGAAGTGGTTTTGGTTGCCTGTTGTGTAAAGCAATTTGAGAGTTTCCTCTCCAATCTTCAATTGCATTCTCAGCTGAATATGTTGTACTCTGCCAATTAAATTTAAGAAATAGCATAATTAAGTGGGCATGAAGTTTCTCTATCCACAATCAGAAGTGAAAGTTTGTAATCAGAACTTCAGAAGCTCAGATTGATTATTAGCAGACTGCAAAATAAGTTACATTCAGAATGTAAAGTACAAACAGTGAAGAAAAAAAGAAATAATAGTAACATTTGAATGGAAAAAAAAAGTAAAAAAAATTATAATAGTATCAACGTAATACTAGTTCAAGATTAAATTGAATAGAAAAAAAAATTAGATGAAAGTATATATATATATATATATATATATATATATATATATATATATATATATATATATATTACTCTTTTCAAAATGAAAAATACTTACAAGATCTTGAATTACTCTAAGACTTCAGCCATTTAATTCTAAACACTTAAAGATCTACACATATAGATGATCATCTATTTATAGGTGTATAATAATAATTTAAACCAAGAGACCCTTATCTTTAAAACTCTATCTAATCAATTTATTAAAAAGATAAAAGATAAAAAATCTTAAAATCCTTTGAAAGATAATATTTTAAATCTTAAAAATATATATTTTTGAAGATAAATCTCTGTTTATTTCTCCATGACTTTAATGATTTCTTAAAACAACTTTTCGAAATGAAATGATGTTCAATTTCAATATACTTAGTTCTTACATGATAAATTAAATTTATAATCAATTTTAAAACACTTTGATTATCAAACTATAAAATAATTGGTTTGTTAATTTGATAGTAAATGTTATTGATCAAATGTTTTAACTATATACATTCTTGAGCAGCAAGTAAAAAAGTATGTATGTAACTAAAAGATAACCAAAAGTAGATCTATTGCATGGTTATTATTTCTTACTATACTATGAGATATCATATAAAAAGATAACTAAAAGTATATCTATGATTATCCAAATCACCTTCCAAATTAGTATGTATGTAACCATGCAATTCAAAATGAATACCCTTCTTATAAAATAATCTCAAATCAAGATATGACTTCCTTCAAGATTACATAAAATGACTTACAAGACTAATTGAAAATATAATTTTGTTTTATAATTATTAAGCAGATGAGTCTACCAATAAGACAATGAAAGAATGAGAGTTAGAAAAAACCTTGTTATCATTATAAATTAGCTTTATATTTACATCAAATAGAGTATAAATCTTCTTACTTTTATTAGTTCCAAACCTTTCAATAATTTTATTTATATAATTTATATGAGTGATAAATATATTTTCTTTTATATTCATCACCTCCGGATCAAGAAAAATATTAAGCTCCCCTAAGACTTTCATTTAAAATCGGAGGGAAAGATCACTATGAAGTTTGAAAACTTGATTTTATCATTATCAATGATAATCATATCATACAAATAGAATATCATAGAAGAAAAATAATTATAGAAATAGAAATATTAAATAATATTTTCACTTTCGGAACTTGCTTTAACTCATAGAATATTTTCTTGAGTTTGAAAATATAATTTTATTTGAAAATAGAAGTATTCCCCATTAATTGTTCCATATAAATGTACATGTCAATTTCACTATGGAGAAAGACATTCTTCACATCAAGTTGTAAAAGTTTTTATCTAGAACAAGATGCTAGAGCAATTACCATCCTAATAGATATCATCTTAGTCATGACACTAAAAATTTTTCTCATAATTCTCTTCATATTTTTTTAGAAATCTCTATTGCTACAATTCTTGCCTTATATACTTCTATCTAACATAGACTTATTTATAAGTAATTAAATCTACATTTATAAACTTTGGTACAAGATCTCATGTTTTACTTTTACGAAGAGTTTTTATTTCTTCATCCATGCATCCTCTTACTTTTAAGCACCTTTGGCTTTATCAAAACAAGTAGACTCAAGATTATCAATTGATGGAAAAAAGAAAAGATCATATATGTTTATATTATCTTAATCTCTATAATATATTGGTTTGACAATTTTTTTATATTCTTAATATTTTTTTTTTCTTCATGAACATCGTCCCTCCTATCACTTTGCTCCCGTATTGACGATGAAAAAATAATATAAATAGATACAAATAAGGGAAATAAAATGTCAAAATCCATAGGAGCACTACTGACAATAAAAACTTAGCCATAAGTTTTAATCATAGATCACTTTCACTGTTGTGATTAATATTTTTAAAGATAAATACTCATGGAGGATAATAAAAAAAAATTATCAAACATAACATATCTAAATACTACATACCTATATATTTGTCGATCCATATATTATCAATCTTTCTTTCTTTCATCATAGCTAATAAAGATGCATTTCTTGGTTTTAGTATTAAGTTTGCTTGTCTTTGAGTGTGATATATGAATATAGTAAAAAAAGTAAATACTTTAAAATATTTAATATTTGATTTCTCATCAAATATAAGTTCATATGGAAACTTCAAATTGATTGGACTAACAGAAGTTTGATAAATAATATAAGTTGTGCATGTCATATTTTTTGCCTATAAGACTTTAGATAAATTCTTTACATAAGTCAATACTTACAAGTTTTTGCAAGATGCCGAATCTTTCATTTTATTACATCATTTTGTCATAATGTAGTTGTACAAGTGAGCTTTCTCTTGATATCATGCTTTTGCAAAAGAAGAATATATTAGAAGTGATCTCCCTATCATTATTAGTATGTAGTCTTTTAATTTTTCTTTTAAGAACATCTTTTAACTGTTAACTTAAACTTTTAAATTTAAAAAAAATTAATTTTTTCTTCGTAAAGTAGACTAAGTGAATATTGTAAAATCATTAATAAAGAGAAACATATAACAAGAAACTGAATAAGATAAAGTTTGAATAAGAACTATTAGATTACTATTAATAAGTTCTAAGGAAAATTTATATATTAAAAATGACCTATCAAAGGGTTGCTCATGTGCTTTGTCATATTGATAATCTTCATAAACTTCATTACTACTAAAAGTAGTAAGGTTGGGAAGATCATTAACTATACCTTTTTTAATCATAATCTATAATTTGAGAAAAATTATATGATCAAGTTAAGTATAGCACCACCATTTATACTCATCCTATCAACATAAGAGTTAGATGCTAATAAAATATATAATTATTTGATCCTTTTATGATGGTGCATTCTTTCTCCACTCCGTGAACAGTATTATCTGTTATGATAATTATATCATTACAATCATATTGATGAAAATTGGTGAATTTAGTGTCATCACCGATGAGATGATAATCATATTCTGAATCAACTATCCACTACTACAGTAGTTTCAACTATAAAATATTTACCTAAATCTTCTTTAATAGCATTAGAACAATCTTCTTTTTAAAAAAAATATTTTCTTTAATACCTGATCTACTTTTAATTTATATCATTATTCAAAAAAGACTCTTGTTAGTATCATTCTTTTTTTAATCTTTATTATTATCTTTTTTTTTATTCATAAAAAGAGTATCTTCATCACCCCTGAAGTAAAGACTCGTTCCTCAATGAACTAAAGATTCTTGAGAAGTATAGAGATTTTTAATTCTACTAAAGATGATTGTTGAATCGATTCTTGAATAAATATAACATAAAATTTATATTCTTTTCGAAGATCACAAGTAATATAATGTTTTATTTGTACATCAAAAATAGATTCCTAAGAGTGATATCTTTAAACATAAATTTTTAATCTTAAAAAATTTAAAGATCATCTTGGATAGTATTTACCAAATCATTCTCCAAATACTACAATCAAGCCACATTCTAAATCTCTAAAACTGATTTACAACTAATAATAAGTGATAGATCTCTCTAACACAAATTTAGTTTTCGCATTTAATGGCCTCTATCTCTTCATGACATCTTCGTCTATAGCATTTGATGTTATTGTTGCATTGCCAACAATCATATCTCAGAATCTTCTCCTTTGAGATAGGACTCTAAACAAATCTTTTAGACCTCATAGTTAGACTGTTTGAGAAGTTCAATATCAATGTTATCTTCTTTGTCAAGTAGATCTTAAAATTTATAGTAAAAAAAAGTTACTATTATAATTTATAGTAAAAAAAGTTATCTTCTTTTATTATGGTAATTTTAATAGAAAAAATTATCTTCTTCATCAAGCAAATCTTGAAATATAGATTATCATTCTTGTGGCTATGATAACATGTAACAAGAGGAAAAGATCATATATAAGTATAACATTTTCTCAAATAGTTAGTAACAAAATACTACTAGACCAACATCAAACCAAATAAAAGAAGAAGAAGAAGAAGAAATTAAGATGAAAAATTTATATTAAACTTAAAAAAAATACTTACAAGATTCTGAACTACTCTTGGACTTGAGTTCTATAGGTTTGAATGCTTAGAACTTGAATGAATTTATATTCACATGTAGATGTTATCTATTTATAGGTGCATAAACCAAAAGACTTTTATCTCTAAATTTTTTTTTATAATTAATTTATTTTAAAAATAAAAGATAAAAAAATATTAAAATATTTTTAAAAAGAATACTTTAAATCTTAAAATAGAATGCTATCTTTCTCATGCAAGGTTTTATTTTCTTTCCCTTCAAACGCAATATTATGGAAAGTATGTTGTAAACTGAATCATCTTTCTTTGATTGTGATGAGTCATTCACTGATGTTTTCTTTTCCCCTTGAAATGGTGAAATATCTTTTGTTTTATGTATGGTTTGTGTAGTTCTAATACGAGTAATTCAACGAAGAAGAAGACGGAAAGTAAAACTGTCACTGATGCACAGCTCCAAGTTTCCAGCCTTACGTATGGTTTGTATAGTTCTAAGACAATCAATTCTAATGGCCATATTTCTAGCTCAGTGGGGGTATATTGTTCAGATACCTCAGTATGTTCTCAGCCATCGTCTTGGTGCTGCCACTCCCTTTATGAACAGCAGTCACTAGTGCAGCGCGCACCATCCGGTCATCGGCGATCTCTCCTACAATACTATCTCCACCACTCATCAAGAATCTCTCGATCACCGAGAAACACTTCTGCCGCACACCTTCCTCCCTGTGCTCCCGCAGGGCCCCCAGCACAAAGCTCAGTGCATCACCCTCACCCAGCACCCTCACACCCTCCTCCACATCGACTCTCTCATCCAACAGTGTGCTAATGGCCGATAGTGCTGCCTCCACCACCTCTGGGTTTTTCTGTTCCAGGCAGCCCAGCAGCCGTTCCACAGCTCCGGACTCCAGTAGACAGAAGGTGGTGGAGGAGGAGCAGACACCCTTGTGCACCAGACATAGCTGAACCCTCTGTGATTTCTTTGCCTCCTGTGAACTCGAGCTGAAGCTTTTTGACAAGAACCTCCTCCTGCTGGGGATCAGCACCTCTGGTGGCCTTGAGAGATGAACAGACTGGGAAGAGAGGTTCTCAAGTCCCGCTGCTGCTAGCCTCTGCACTTCATTGCTCCCCCCTGTCCTAACCAGCAACTCTGTGAACACTGATGTCAAGTTCTGTCCTCGAGCCATTTGAAGGATCTCCTGGTCAAAAAGAGTGGCTGTAAACCTCACTAGCACGCCCACTAACCCCTCGAGGTAGCACCTCGTGTACCTCGTTGTTCTGGTTTCACCTCTCAGGATCCCATGCATTCTGCTTATAATTGCAGGCACTGTGCCTTGATGGAGCAGAGACAGATTGAGTGTCAAATTCTTGTGCGGCAGCTTCGCAATTAGATTTACTGAGATTGCGTGCTTCTTTGTGATTTGATCGATGTCGTAGCTCTTGATTAGGCCCTCCGGCTGGCCTTGGGTCTTGCAGAGACCTTCTGCTATTGTGTGGCCAATGTGAAATGACAGTTCTGTGAGTAACTTCGCTGCAGCAACGACGAGCACTTCCACCGGGGAATTTAGCTGTTCGATGAGCGTGTAGCTCACTTCAGTCTCTTTGATCACTGACACCACTGTGGCAATATGTCTGGGGATTTTGGCCATGTAGAGCAAGATATTGATAAGGTTGATGTTGAGCTTATCTGATTTGGAACATTTCAGCATGTGGGCAATGTTGTAGATGGAGTAATGTGAGGTAATGGTGTGGCCATGCTTATCAACTTGGATCGTCTCTAGGTCAGTTGTAGATTTGGCTATATTTGCAAGGATTGTAGCAGCTTGTTCCTTGAAGTCTATGTATGTGTTGTAGATTCCACAAGTGAACATCTCTTCTATCAGGATAGGGATGATGCCAGCATTTACAAGCATTCGGTTGTTCAGGGGGTGGGATGAGATCTGGACAAGAGCTCCGAATGCTGCTCTCTGTGTAATAATGGTATGTGTGGTGGTGACCATCTTTATTAAGACCTTGGAGGCCTTCTCTGCGACATAGGTTTTCATGTCATGTTCAAGAATTAGTTCACTGAGGTAACTTGCCATCTCTATCTGCACCTCTTCTGTGCCTGCATCAATATGATGATTAAAGATAGGGATCAGAATTCATGTAAAGGTTTGAATTAGATTCTCAAGAATTACTTAGATATTTACTGTTAGTTGATTAATCAAATTCAGTTTAAATTGACAAGTGATGACCTTTGTCATCAAGCCCTTGATGAATGGAGACTTGCAACTTATGATTAGCTGAGCTTGAGTTTCCAGATACAGAGCCCGGATGCTGATTATTTAGAATGCACAAATTATGTTTAGGTTTAAGTCAGCTAAAAAAGTTTATGATCTGTATATCGATACAGGAAAGTTTGTGAACTATAGAATTACAGATGACAAAAGACAGAGTTCATGTGATCTTCAAACTTGTAAATCCTGAGAATCTAAATCTAACAAAAATAAAGTATCAAATACATGTGGTGGAATTGGAACTTCAAAACTTTTTAGAAGTGTGCATCCAAGATGGAAATTATTAGCTATGAGCAATTGGGTAAACTGTGTGGTCCTTTCTTGAGAAGGACAGAAGGGAAACAAACCCCAGCAATGTAAGACCTATTGATTGGATATATCTCTGAGGTCTTTCGTGATCCTTGTAAGGTAAAACCTTAATTCTGTTTATGTTAATTAGCTAAAAATGTTAAACTTGGATCTTTCTTCATATTCTGTTGATATTGTATGGATTTGCTTTCACAAGTCAACTATGGCACAATACTTTCTTAGATTTTTGTGCAACAAAAAACACATGGATGCTTAGGTGCTTCTGTCCAGGAAGAGAAGAGCAAATAACTGATGTGATTGGCAATAAAGTGGAGTTATGTGATTTACCTGAAACGAGATGGTCCAGAAGGGGTTCCAAGTATCCATACTCTGCCATGGATTTGATGTTCCTCGGATACTTCTCCAAGTTCTTGAGAATTTTTTCTGCTTTCTCCACAGCTAAAGAACCAGCGGACTCGTTATACTTCATGGTAGTGAGTGTCAGGATGCAACCAGCAGTAGATCCAATATTTTCCAGCAAAGTTTCAGTTTCTGAAAGTTCCAATAAGAATGCTATTGATTCATGCCTTACTGAAGCATTATTGCTTGATAGCATCTCAGTTGTTCTTTCAAGGGCATTGGTATTTGCAACTATAACCTGCAAACAATCCTCCACAGACTAAGATCTATCTCCATTCCAAAGCATTATCTGCTTAATTATTTTGTATGTTTTACCTTTCAAATCTCATTGATTTGTTTTTTTCTGGATACCTTAAAATATATATTAAGAGACATGTCAAAAGTAAGTTTTGACATGTCCTCCCTCTTCACGAGTAGGAATTTATTAACAATTTTCTTAGGACCTATTGCATTGGAAGGATGGCTAGAGATGATATATATGTAGTTATATCATAGGTATTACATTCTTCATGTCCTTCCATGTTCAAGTTGGTTTTTCAAATTGATGCCTGTGGTCTAGTGGTGACTTGAAGGAGCTTTATTAGCATCTGAGACTGATTCCTTAGATAAGACAAGAAACACTACACTATGGAAGAGTGTAAACCACAGTAGTAGAGCTTAATGTATTAGAACAAAATCTTTGTATTCATCATATAATTAGATGAATCTAGCATGACCAAGTGTAATGCTTCTTCTTTGAGTGGTAATTGAGTTTTAGCACATTCATGTGATTACTTTCATGAACCTGAAATTATTATTTGTATATGTTTTTCTTTAGAAGCCATATAAGAAGTAGTTTGAAATTAGCCCCTTGTTTCTTTTGGTTTTTCAGATTATTTGATAAAGATGTGCAATTTGGCTTGAAATTGCCCTCTACGTACAGAAGCTTGTAGATTTACTATAGTGGTTCTTGATGTAATTCTGCGCTAAGCTTATTGGAGTAACACCAGCATGATTTTTTGAGCAGGAATAAGTGTAGCATGTAACCCTGGGAAATTAACTCATACCTTTCCCTCTTCGTCCTCCACAAGTAAGCGTAGAAGTTTCAAAGCTTCAGTCCACACCATCATGTTTTTATGTTCTAGAAAGCTTGTGAGTAGCTTTGTAATTCCTAGGTTGTGCATCTCCTCCCTGTTGTATCCTCTTTTTTGGCTCAAGATGTTTAGGTCTCTTATTGCATCCAGTACCATGGCCTCTGATTTGTCTAATAATAGAACATTATGAGCAACCTTGATTCTCTTCACTTCATTTCTTCTTTTCCATTCAGCTATTATGGTCCTTAATGCTTTATTGCTATTTAAAACTCTGCTTTGCAGTTTAATACCTGTTGCTGGACAAGTGATTGTCTCTGAAACATCTTTAAACCTCCCAAACCACTCGGCTATCGCCTTTCTTTCAAATGTTATGCCACTTTCAATTGTGACAGGATCATCCATGATTCTCTTTGTTATTGGGCAAAAGAATGTATCATATAGTGGCTCACTATATTCTGCTATTTGTGATAGTGTCTCAATCGATCCGCTAGCATATTTCCATGCATCATAATCCATGCCTTCAAGAAAATCTCCCAGACGTGGCATATACCCACTCCATGTACTGTGTAATTTATTCTTCTCATCAGAACTTGGAACTAGGTCTGCATCTTTTCTCTTCACCAATTGTTCTACAGATGAATTTTCTAACTTGTGTTCTTCTGTAATGCAGTTTCCAGTTCCATTTATGTGGAAACAAACATTTTTCATCTCTCTTGAAAGTGATTGAACTGTGATTTCAGCATACTTCTTATTCTGAAAAGTAGGCAACGGTATGGTGCTAAGATCCTGCCCGAGCTTTCTTATAACTTCTTCCAGCTCTTCAGTGATGAATTTAAGATCATCATCCCTAATTGACTTAGCTCCTGTGCTGCATTTTGCTACAAGATTATTTGCAAGCTTGACTTTAGCAGATAAAGATTGTAGAATTTGTAAGGCACTCGGAGAGCCATTTTCGATTGTCCGAAACTCCATAATTACAGGAGAAATGCGATGGAGATAGCATCCCAATTCCATGAAAGTTTGATGTTCAATCTCCACAGAAGCTACTGATGACATGATCTCTGAAATAGCTGCTAGTAGAGACTCTACCACAACAATCTTCTGGTCTTTGACCTTTTTCATATTTAAAATTGAGAGCCAGAGGGATTATTAATGCGAAGGAGATAATGGTTAAGTAGTTCAGATTCTAAGATGCATAGACGGGTAAAAAGAATTAAACAGCCATGGTCAAAAAAATGTTATTTCAAATCAGTAACTGTATTCATCTTTTGACAATCTACCAAAACAGGAAGGTCTGATGAATCAAACTGGGTTATTTTCTGGAGGGAGAAGTTTAAATTAAATTAAAGCTCTATCCAAAAAGAAAATGTTTGCCTGTTCCAATGTTATGATGGAGGCAGCTGCTGAAGTTGAAGTTCACTATCAGCAACTATGTAGTTGTAGTTTCTCATTATTTTGCATGCTGAAAGGTTTTGTGACCAAAGTATGGGTGAACTGAAGCTTATAAATGTTGTATCTCAAAGGGCTAAAGAAAATAAAGGGAAAGAGAAACAAATCAGAGTTGATTCTTGGATTTCCATTGCATAAAGTTATTCAGTAGTATTTCGAAGGCTATCTTAATTATTTTTCATTCTATTCTCATCTTTTCTGCAGCCTTGTTAAGTTTTCCGTTCTTCTATTTTTATGATATCCTGATCTTGTCAGAGGATCTAAACTTCCTAATTAGTTTTGGCATAAACAGAAACAAGGTGAGTTTCAATCTTTTCTTTCTGAAAAAATAATATATGTATATATAGCAACATATGATGATAATTTTAGTTAGATCACCAGCTAAACTATTGTTGGATCGCTAATGTCTACAAATAATGCACACAGAGGGAGATTGAAGGTGCTTACAGACATCCAACTGAAACTTTACTGCAAGTCTCCCCTTCTGCAGTTTTGCTTCATAAAGACACAGTCTTCCCAAGCACTGGTTTTTAATCCCTTCTAAGTGTTTCAGAAGAGAAGTCTATGTTGAACAGGTCAAAGGTTTTATGTGTGCCTTGCTTTCTTGATGTTTTAGATATGTTAGGTACAGCTAACATCATTTATTACTATTATTTCTGTGTAGAAAAAAATATTCTACTCTGTCAAACTTGCCTCAACCATTTATATGTAATCTTTTTAAGAGTGAAAAGATGCAGATTCCAAGAATGCAACACTACAGTACTTTAGGAGAAGATGAGATACATAAACTGCACATGCATATCCTTATCAAGCATAGTTTCCATTACAATATATTAAATTGCTGAAATTGATAATGAAATTACTTTGAATTAGATCTTTCCTTATTTCCATTTTGACTCTCACATTTAGATCTTCTTTCTATTAAATCGCTGAAATTGATATTTGAACCAATTTTGAAGCAAGCAGTGGTTTTTGTTGTAGAATAGCCAAATTACTACCAGATTTACATGCACAAACATGATAAAGTTGGTTACCGCTTTTCCTGAACATTTAAATTTCAAGATCAGCAGGCTTTTCATGTATGGGTGAAACAGAAGAGGTAGAGCAAGGATTCAAACTCATGACATTCTCTTTTGTGATGTCATGATAAAACTATAAGTTGGACTACCACTGTTCATAAAAGCTTTGTTAATGAAAAAGGACTCGACTTATAATTGCACTCTAATGTTGTGTATATAATTACTGTTTAAATTAGTAGATGAATTCTTGTTGCCTATATTTGAAATCCATAATTTGATATAAGCAGTTGATAACATGTTGGGACTTCATCACTTTGCTGCTGCTGTAGTAGTTGAAAACATCCTCTGCTTCCCACTTGACTATGTTAGTGGGAACTGGAGGTCTTACAATTTACAACCAAGCTAACATCTTGCACCAATCTGTGATCGTTGATTAAAGGATCTTACAAGTTTTTGGCTCTTTTGATCATAGAAGCACTCAAAATCAAATCAATAGATTATTAAATGGTTGTGTTTTCTTGTTCTCAGGTACTCACTGACCTGCTCCACAAGTGATGCCATCCCATGGAGCTGGACTGTGACATTCAAAAAATCCAAATTGAAGAACAGGTCAGCATAAACCAACAATATTTCTTTTCTCTCTCTAACTTGGCTACTAGAATGAGATGTTAGGTAAGTTGGAAGTTGACATTTTATAAATGACAATAGCAGAAAGTTACAAATATATACAGAAACCACTGGAAGTCAAAGCAAATATCTATTATCATATGCTTAAATCACAAACATAAACTTTTTTTCTGAAAATATCAGCATTCTAGATTTCATTGATCATCAGGATATGGTCATCAATGAGGTTTTATGTGGATGTTTACATGTAGCCTTGTGTGATCCGGTCATCAAACCTTGTTGGATTGAGATATTCCAGCCAGTGGAAGAGAACAGGAGGTCAGCAAAACTCAAGTTATTAGTGCTTCTGAGTAAGGATCCAGTTGCTGGCTTGCAGCAGTCGATCGACAAATTATAGAGGGAATGGTGGCCTATAAAACATTGGTAAAATGCTTGTTATATGACCTTTATATGTATAACATCAAAATAACCAGTTCGAATATGCTTAAACAGGCTTTACACAGAGACTATGAGACAATTATAGGAAACTATCAGATGCACAGCCATGCAGAAAATAAAAGTGAGAGAGACTGATGAGAATGTTTGGCAGCAATAGGGAATTTATCATGTTTTTGTGCACATTAAAAAAGCATCTGAATTTTGTCTGTGTTTTCTTAGCCAATACTAAATCTAGAGTTTTGGGTTACTCATTTGTTGTAATGACTAGTTGTAGTTGGCCATCATGTTCACTCATGAAAAGGGTCATATATTAGGTTTGGGAGATGCATCCCTGCTATTACTGTAATCATGCTGTCAGTCTGAAACATTGATCTATATGTGATTTGACTGTAATCAGTCAAAACCATGAAATCAGGCACGCCGATTGCTTGGTCGTCCTATTTGTTTTAGCGCGGTTTCTTCAGCCTCAAGTTACCTTCGTCTCATGGACTGTAGTATCTAAACAAAGAATTTATAGAAGCAGCCAAAACATGGATGATATCTTAATCGGAAGATGCTTAGGCTGGATGGGTTTGCAAGCTATCAAGTCACCATCATGGGATGAGGAAGCTGACTTGATTACTCTCTCTCTCTCTCTCTCTCTCTCTCTCTCTGCTACAGGAGAGAAATGGCCATGGATATAATATATATATATCAATAATATTTTTAGATTTATGGAACCTTAGAGAATAAATAATTTAGATAAGAAAAAATAGTTATGGGAAGGAAAGAAATTTTTGAAAATTAGAGTTCGGTTGATTTGTGGATATCTCATTTACCATAATAATGTAAGAAGATATTTGATTTATGGATATCTCATTTGGCCTAATGATGTAATGATATTTTGAATAGTAAAAGTTTCTCTATAGTAGATTGAGAAAAGAAAATTTATGTGAGAAAGTATGCTGAGGGATTTGGATGGGGTTTATTGAGTATAATTAGAGAGAGATAGGAAATATTTATATGAAGGAAATAAATTTTAGATCCATTTCACGCAGCCATAGCTGATTCAATCTTTCTCGTTCTCCTTAAAAGGGACAAATTCTACAATGGCCCCCTTTGTCGAGCTCCATGTGGTCTTGCTTCTAAAAACAACTGTTTTTCTATTTCTTGTCAATCTGCGAAGTTTTCCATGATTTGAGAAGCAAAAACACAAACGCACAACAGAAACAAACAAAGCATTTTTCTAGTCCGTCTTTCACATCGTGGCAAGCTTGGATAGCTCTCCCACAAGCTTCACGAGGTCCTTGTACGAGCTGCCACCTTCTGTGGTCGCTTGCATCGTTCTGGTTCCCATCGCCTTCGCCCTCTCCCTCCTCTCCCTTCCCGGCTCGCCTACGGACTCGGCCACCGCCCGTGCCAGCTCGTCTGGGTCCGGCACCGAGGTGGGACCGCCATCGCACACCCGCACCCCGACCCCGGCCTCCACCAGCAGCTGCGCGTTCGTGAACTGGTCCGCCCCCATCGGCCATGCCAGCAGCGCCACCCCCGCCGCTGCCGCTTCTATCACCGAGTTCCACCCGCAGTGGGTCACGAATGACCCCACCGCCGGGTGGGCCAAGATCGCCACCTGCGGCGCCCACCCCCGGATAACTAGCCCCCGTCCCGCCGCCCGCTCCTCGAACACCTCCGGCACCGCCGTGCCAGCCCTTGCTGCCCACACGAACCTAGCGCCGCTCCTCTCCAGTCCCGCCGCCAGAGCCGCCGCCGCAGGCGGCGACAGCATCGCCTGGCTCCCGAAAGCGACGTAAACCACGGACCCCTCCTCGCAGCCGTTCAGCCACGCAGCCACCTTCTCTGCCGGGACCGACACCGGACCTCCGCGCTCGGCGGCGGAGGCAGTGCCGTGGGACGGCGCTAGGGGCCCCACCGCCCAGACCCGCGGGTTGCCAAGGTATTCGTTGCGCAGATGATCCAAGTACGTCCCCTCGAGGTCGGAGAAGGTGTTGACGACCAGCCCCCAGCTCCCGAGGTTGGCCAGCATCCCCTCTTTGATGAACTCGGAGACAGGGTCGCCCCGTTTGTAACTTCTCCAGAGGGTGGAGAGCTCGCACCAGCGATAAACGGGCGACCCTGGAATGGAAGGGAAGGCGACGAGCTCGTTGGGGTCGTCAACGTCGGACCTTTGTGGCATCCGGCGCCATAGCGAGTTCATGACGGCAAGGGCGAAGGCGCCGGAGGGGCTGAAGACGAGGCGGGGAACTCCCAGCTCGGCTGCAAGTCGAGCAGTCCAACCGACGAAGATGTCGGAGAGGACGGCGTCGGGGGGGTCGGGGCGGGCGCGGGCCCACCGCAGGATGGGGCCGTGGAGGCCACCGAGGGCGCGGTGGAGGAGGCCGAACTGGGGCCAGGAGAGGAACATAGTATTCTCGAGCCCCCGGGGGAGGGACGGGTTTTCTGGGAAGGGAAGGACGAGGGTAGAGACGGCGGGAGAGCGGGAGAGGAGCGGGGAGAGGAGAGGCAGGTTGCCCTGGGTGACGGCGACAGTGACGACGAGGCGGAAACGGTCAGAGAGGAGGCTGGCGAGGTCGAGGAGGGGGAGCATGTGGCCTTGCGCCGGGTACGGGATCACCAGGATGTGAGCGCGCCTCTGCCCCTCCGCCATGGCCTTCCTATCCTCCGCCCCGGTTCTTCTCTCTCCGCTCGTCGTCTCGCCTTTTGAAGGAGACGGCCGTGTGCGTAGTCAGCTACCTTTACATTGGACGCATAATCTACCCGTCTGGTGATTCTAAGATAGTGGTGGCCCACTAATGAGCTCCCGTGGACCTGAGTCTCTAAATGTCGAACTCATAACTAATAACCCTACATTGATTTATCTAATCTTCCTTGTCCAATCTGAATTAGCTAACCTTTTATTATGTCTCTAGCTCTTAATCAGATGAAAAATAAATAATACAGGAGTGGGTAGCATAAAAAATAAAATTAGAAAAGGAAAATTGACGAACATATTTATTCTTGTTGACTTACCAAATCATCAGTGTGTTTAACGACGGAGTAACGACTGCACCTAATCGATACGGGCCGACAAATCGTGCAATAATGGGTCCGATCGAATCAGACAAAGTAATCATATTTTTTAATATTTATAATTATAAGAATATACTCGAAGAATCAAAAGTAATTGTTAGCAATGAACTCAACATAGATAAGGACATCGCATTCACTATCCAACCAAATAAAATAGGAAGAAATCGACCAAACCCAAGTCTGATTAGAGTCGACCTATTTAGACGCTTAGGTGCCGCAACCGACTCGCGATATAAAAGAAAGCGGTGGGGACGGAGGAGACGGACGTGACGGGAGAGAGAATGGAGGGGGTGGCCGAACCCTATCAGGCACCGGCTAAGCGCCTGAAATCCCTAGCCGGAACCATGGCTCCGAGCTCCGGATCGACCGGCAAGGGCAAGGAGAAGATGGAGCGGGAGCTTACGGCTGCTGCAGGCGAGGGTTCTTCGGCTGCGGTGGAGGAGGAGGAGGGGGAGACGTGCGGCATCTGCTTCTCCGATTGCAAGCGGTCGACCCGCGGTCGAATCGACAGCTGCGACCACTACTTCTGCTTCGTCTGCATCATGGAGTGGGCCAAGGTTGAGTCACGGTGCCCCCTCTGCAAGCGGCGGTTTCGGTCCATCCGCCGACCCCCGGTGGATGGGGTGTTCGTCGTTGAGCGGGTCGTCGATGTTCCGGTCCGCGACCAGGTCAGGCGAATTAGTTGAAAGTAGCAAATTATGTGGATCTTGCTTAATTGCTCAATGTTTCGTCTTATCAATAACAACTAGGATGTGCAACTGTCGTTGGAACTGATTTGCTTGTCTTGTCTCAAAGCGCCCAGGACAACGAGATTTATGATAGGCTTGCACATATGCACACAATTGTCGTTCTAAGAATTGATTTGTTTCTCTTTTCTGAATACAGTTTCGAATCAGTCCAACGCCTATATTGTAAAAGAAAAATTGAAACTTGATCTATGGTGTGAAGAAATAGAGGAGGGGAGATTAAATAAAGTAGTAAATTTTGTACAAGAATAGGATGGTTAGCTTGGCCAAGGCTTCGTCTATAAGCATACACAAGACCAGGATAATGATTATTTAAACATGGGCGTTAATGCTCTTTGATTCTTGTGTGAAGTAAATCATGGTTTGCTGTGTCATATCTTGTACCATCGTTACTTAATGTCAGGAGTGGAGATGTTAAGGACCTCTTGGACTTGGCAAGTGAGGGTAGATAAACTTCTTGAGAAGAAATAAGTATTGCAAATTTGTGTACCAATTAACCATGTAGTTAATCCCTTGAAGTTGAGTGTATTTGGTGTGAGCATTATTTGATCATTTCTTAAATAAATGGAGAACTCCATCTGGGGATTCTATTCGATATGCTAGGTTGGTGTTGCTTTCCTTAATGAGAACTTGATTTTGATAGATGTGCTTATTCATACTAAAAAAGGGCAAAATTTTCCCTTTTTCCTTTCATCCTATTGTGGATGCACAATTTCTTTGTCTCTACCAAGCACAAGTGTGTGAGAATTATAATTTTACCCAGCTCAGTACCTTTCAGTTGGTATTTACTAGTCCGATTGGTTAGTGGAAAGTGGATACTTAAAATTGAGCAGTCCAGTCTTCTATGCTTATCCGTTCTTTTGAAAAAAAAAAAAACACAATGCAGTAGGGCTCATGAGGAGTCATGAACCTCATGTTCCCTCACAAGTTTCCTCTCCACCATATCATTGCTCATGCATCCACCGCTATCGGCCACCGGCTCTAGTACATCTCATCCTTCTTCTTTTTTTCTCCTCTTCTCCCTCTACTGTTTCCTCTCCTCCTCTATCTTTTCCTTGGAACAGACCAAACCTATATCGGTCCGGCAATGGGCTGGTTACGATACCTGGAATTGAAAACCTTGGTTGTATCATAAGATGAAAAGGATGCTTCTTTGCCGTGCACTTGCTATCCTTATTTATTATAACCTTGCTTACGAGCTTTGTATTCTTCACCAGCTGCATTGCCTTAAAGTGAACTGTGAACCAACAACAATATCCAAGAGATTTTAGTAATGATCTATCTGGTAGGAGTTTCAAATAGTTTTACCACCATTTCTTGTATGTAGTTCACCTCCTCTCTCCCTTCCTTCTCTTTCTACCTTCTCTTCTAAATACCAGTACAAGTCTGGAGGTAGATTGGACAGTATCTGATTCTTCTTAAAATGTATTTGGAGGGATTTTCTGCAATTTAATGTAGGACTAGAAATGGTAGATATATTAAGGAAATAACCTTATTAATTTTTCTATCATTGTTTATGACCTTTGACTTTGGTGGTTAGATTTGCAATGCTTGTAGTGATTTGCTTATTTGTATTGGTTGTTTTTTATATGATATAATATCTTGCTTCTTGTTGAATAACATTTTTACTAAATTATATGGAACATGGAAAACTCATAATACTGTGTAACATTATTTATTCACCAAAATGACTTCTCTTTTTATAAGAAAAAAGGATTTGCTGTGTCATCATATGCAAATTGTGTAATATCCATATTTTCTTGCTTTGTCATCTATTTGATACTTCCTATATATGAAAAGGTGTTTTGTCTTTTTACCATAAGGCTATTACATATATACCTCTGATAGTTAGAAGAATTTAAAATGATCCTAGAGGTATAGTACCAGACTTTGTTGCCATATTTTAATTTTTTTATGTTTTAGATCAAGAAAATCGATTTTATACATGTTAATACAATTTTACACATGTTGAGATCATCTTTGTGAATATATTGAAACAAAGGTTAAAAATCTCGATTTAGTACTGATACTGATCCTTGGCTTAACTGGTATGGTTTCAGTCCAGACCGTCATACCATGTGATTATACAGGTTGGTACTGGCTGAACCACTAGAGGCAGAGAGTGAAAGAGAGATGAGGCCATGAGGGAAGGATAGGGTGGAGAGGTGTACACTTGAGGGTTTGACAAACAATGATTAAGGTGACCTTGTTGGGGAAGTAGGTAGCATATGCAAAACTTGATGAAGGTGGTGGTGCAGCAAGATTCATCTGTCCCACTGTTGCTCATCCTATGAGGCTTAGCAGGACTAGACAGAGGGGGGAGATTGAGGTGGAGGCGGCAATAGAGCAAGAGGGGGGGAGAGAGAGAAAGATAGTACTTGTTTGTCATCTTACTGGGAAATCCAGTCCAAACCACTCATACAATTTTGCTTGAATTATTGAATGGGAGGACCTTAGTTGGCATCTTGTTGTTCTTCCCATGTTTGGTGCTGCCTTTACTTCTTGAAGGCAGTTTTAAATTGTTATTCTGTTTATGGCCACATAGAACATATATTTTTATGATTGCCACCTCTGTTGTACTCTGTTTTTAGCATCACCACCTCTGTTGTACTCACTATTTGTACCTTTTTTTCCTTACTATCCGACATTGTGATGTGAGACAGATACTTGGATACCAAATTTGATGAGATCACACCATTGGAAAAATCATTATAGTTTCATGTCATTTATATATAATGCTGGGAAATATATTTTTATTTATTCGGTCATTCTCTGATGATCTTAGAACTCACCTCATTCCTCTTTTTATGCTTGTTTTATGCTTGTAAGCTTTGATCAGCTAGCTATCTTATGTGTTTTGAAGTTATTCTCATTTTGTTATCTGAAGTGATTTCTAGCAAATTATTCAAAACAATCTGGTAAATTAAGTGCCTTGGTCTCCTTGTTTGAGGTTGATACAAAAATTGTTCCAGTTTGCAGGTTTACCATCCACTTGGCAACGAGAGTGTGGCCCTTTCAGATCCATATGCACATGTGAGCTGCAGTATATGCCATGGTTCTCAAAATGAGGAACTGCTGCTCCTATGTGACTTATGTGATTCAGGTTCTCACACTTATTGTAGTGGTCTGGGAACTATCGTACCTGAGGGTGATTGGTACTGCCCCGATTGCACCATTTCCAGGGATAAGCATTTGAAATCTCAGTTTGATGATGATTGTTGCCCTCAAGATTCCGTAAAAAATGTGGATACGACTGAAGTGCCTGAACAATCAGTGTCAATCTATGACATTGTAGCTGATGAAATCACTTCTAATTCATCAAGAAGGTTCTCAACTATAGATGTTCTTGATCCACAAAGTACTGGTTGCATATCACCATCCAGAAACTCACATCACGGTGAAAATCAAGACTCTGGACTACAGACTGACCAGTCTTCCTCTGTTTCTACTGTTGGAAAAACTTTATGTGGCCCAGCAAAATGTATTGATACGGGAGCTAGAACCTTGCGCAATTGTCGTAATTTGCATGATCGTATACAAGCCCTGCGTGAAAATTGGAATTCGCTTCGTGCTGGTTCATTGCACTTTTCTTCAAATTTTTTGGGTGCAAAGACAAATGAGAAAAGACAATCACTTCCTGCAAGAACTAGTCCTAACATATCAAGACAGCGAACCACCACATCCCACATCAACAGAGAGCAAACATCTGCTAGTGCTTACGGTAGTCCTCACATATCAAGACAGCAAGCCACCACATCTAACACAAACAGAGAGAACACATCTGCTAATGTTTATGGCAAGACAGCTAATATTGGAAATTCACAGGATATTGACAAAGCCTGGAAAATGATGAAAATTGCAAAGGCAACACAAGCAACTCAAAGAGATAGCAAAAGTGATAATTTTCTAAATTCCCCTGGTAAGAGGAATGTTGTACAGGATGCTGTAAACTACCCTAGCAAGGCTAATGTCTTGAAGGGAACTGAAAAACTTCAGTCTGGCTCAAGCAATTGCAATGGTAAATCACGTGTTGGCAAAATAACTCTTGGTACTGGATCAGATGACAGATGTTTCACTTTATATCAGAGTCAATGGTCCCAAAGTGATTTCAACCAAACTCCAGATGCACATAAAGTGACTGATTTGCAAGGACCTCGTTGGAAGGGTGATCTAGCACAACAGCTAGTCTCATCCGGTACTTCAACAAGGTCTAATTTTCAAGAGTCAATGGTCAATCCAGGTTCTGTCGCTTGTTCACAATCATGTGTTTCCACCCCACCATCTAAAAAGCTGATTAATTTCAATACCTCAAACATTGAAGCCAACAGCAAAGAAGTCAACGGGAACAAGATGGATGGGAATTTGACCATGAATAATGATAGGGCAAAAAGCAATTCCAGCAGCAAATCTAAATCATTGGATGAGATCAACTTGAGTCTTCCAAGTAGAGAGCGACATTTTGATAATAGGAAATGTGATTTGGGTACACATGTTTGTGGTAGTTTGATGAAAACCAATGGTTTAGCTGACAACAGTTCTAAAAGTGAGATTCAGTCTTTGGTTAAGCTAAACTTAAAATTGCTAAGCAGAGATCAACAATTAGGTAACTATGCTACTTCACCGAAAAATTTATTTTACTACTGTGTGGAGAGAATAGAAGTTGCTACTCTTTCATACTTCTAATATCAATCTCAACTTAAGAGTTATCCAATGGCCATCTTGATGTCCTCTTGCCAGGTTTTGATTGTTCTGATGTTTTAATGCTGTATGAATCCCCTTGTTTCCTTGCTTTAATTAAATTTGGTCATTGCATGATCACACAGTTAATCTTGGAATTAATCATGTTTGTATAAACTGGCTTAACATCTGCATCTTTATCGTAAGGCTTTTAGCTCGCTGTTCCATATTTTTTTTTGACTGATCTCAAAACATTGTGATGTTAGATATCTTTTTACTATTTCTACTGTACATTTAAAATTTTAAGACTGGAAAAGAAGACTCCTTTCTGAGAATTTACAACTTTAGACTTGGATAATCATTAGCAGTTAGGACAAATATATGGTTCAACAAATATCACCTGTACTTCCTGTTGATTTAATGATCTCTTTCTTGTTTTCTTTTACTTTTCCTGAAGTTATAACCATGCAATACTGAATTACAAATTGTGTCCCCATAAGCTAATCTGTTAACAATCTGGCTACGTACTTGTGGGGTCCAAGATCTTTGATATGAAACAATGTTACAAATTTAACTTTATGATTCTCTAGCAATGCCTCTTTTTGATGAACAGATCTAATTTGATATCCTTAACAGAAAGAATATGTTGAGTAGATGTTGCTTTCTGCAGGAGCTGCGAGATTCAAAGAAGTTGCAAGAATTGCTACCCATACCATCTTGGCTGCTTGTGGGTTGGAACACTCCAAGTCAAGTGCTCGTTCTTTCCCCAGTCCAGTATGCCAACACTCGGAACAAATTAAGCAGCATCGTAAGTCTAAACTGATGCCCAGTTCTTGTCGAGAATGCTTCTATACATTTGTGCAGAACGTTGTAAACTCTGTTATGACCGAAAAAAATTTATAGCAGTCAACTCTGATGTCAGTCTGAATCATATAATACGTATAATTATAATTATGTTACGCCCCCTGGATAACTGAGGGAGCAAGTGTAATTCCATGTTTTTTTTTTGTCTCATTTGGATCACTAATTGCGTAATATGGTGGGTATACTGGTGACTACATTTATGTGAATAGCAAATGGATTTCACATCTTTATAAACATATTTGAGCTATGTTTTATGGTCACTCGGCCATCTCTCATCTGTAACTTGGTTTTGTTCCAATTTTTTTTCTATGGATGGGATGTTGATGTGCTAATCCCTACTGGCTCGATATAGTCTTTTCTTTGCCAGCGTACTTTACTCTCCTGATTTAGCCCTATGAAATGGTGCAATGCCATTATATTTTACTGGTCATGCCATGGTTGAGATGTGTTTGGGATTATATGGTCACAATAGTTTGTATGTGCCTTCTAAACAAACACCCTTTGTAGCTGGATTTTTCAAAGCAAAAATTATGACCATAGTTTCATTTCGAGAGGTGGTTTGGTCGCCACTCAACTATTTTTCTTCTCAATACTAGTGCATTTGAGCATTATCTCTGAGCTTGATAAATATGAAAACATAACAAGAAATAATATTAATAGAGTGGAGAAGTGCACCTACCATTCGTGATGCATGTGATCAGTATTGGAGAAATTATAAATGCATGGTTTGAACCTACAACTGATTGGATCCGACAGAGGCTAGATCTTAGTGACATTCAACTATTTTTTGTGCAGGAGCAGATGTTACCACGACGAACGCAAATGCCCTCCAATATTTGTTGGGACGTGATTGGAGTGGTAGATGAAACGCCCTGGGTGAACCATCGTGCATGCTTCCAAAAGACGCCGGCCACTTAGCAGGATAAAAAGAAGAAAGCGAGCAAAGCAGAGCAAGCGTGAGAGGTAGCGACAAGACGGGGCTTCCGGGCGCGAAAACGCCATCGTCCACGTGTCGGCAGACGAACGGGGCCCACACTTCGCTGCCTCGCCTCCCGCTCCGCATCAAACCGGGAGAAGGTGACAGGTGAAAGGACGCCGGGTCACGTGTGGAGTCGCATCGGTGATCGCATCACTCGCGCGATCCCGTGTCTCGGCCTCGGCCTCGGCGGCGGGGTCCATGAGTAGCCGACCTTCGTGGCGTACGACCGCTTGTGTTGTGGAAAATCCTGTTCCCTGTGTTAGAAGAGACATCGAAGCCGTACCCGCCTTCCCCACGGCCCTCGTGTGATTGATGGGCGTGCACCATCACATCGCCGAGTCCACCGCACGTGCCCCCTTCCCCTGCCTTAAATACCCAAAATACCCCCAGTTCTGGCTCTTCAGACGCAGACGGACGGCAACGGACGGCAACGGACGACCGTCTTGACGGAGGACTCGTCCGTGAACTACGGGTGGGGCCGGCCCCGCACGCCCCTTTGCGCCCAACCCATGTGGCGACGCCCGAAAAGGTCAGGCCCTCCACCACCGTCCTCACGTGCCCCGCGGCGCCTGGGCCCCTCCGTCCCGCTTCTCACGACAGAGGACCTCCGCCGGATCCCCTCCATCGCCCAAACGTCCTTTTCTTACCCCTTGACACTTCACTCCCACCCCGCGCAGGGACGCCGAGACAAGCGGGTCCCGCGTATGCCGCCGCGACTCAGCCAATGAAAAAGCGGATAAGGGAGGAGGGTCGTTCGTCGAACGTGCGGAAGCCATCGATCTCGTCGACACATGTGCGCCGGTCATGAAAGCCGCGTACCCCACCACAAAGCCCGGTTTTTTGTGGGACCCGCCGTGCGCTGGCCACGTGATGAGTGAGGCGACGGTAGGCGAGCCCTCCATTTTTTAAACCACGTGACGCCACCTCATCCACCAACCATCTCCCGTCGCTTGTCCTCTCCGATAACGTAACCAAAAGAGAACGAAGACGCCACCCACGAGACTAAAACCAATCTCTCCCTAATATAATACACATACATTACATTAACCGTATCATATCACACACAAAAGCGAGACAGAGAAAGAGAGAGAGAGAGAGAGAGAGGCACTGATAAATTACAGATCCCTAAGCAGATATCTTAAAAGAGAATGTTCACGAGTACGAACAAAAACCTCAGCTTAGTTGTATTAGTTAATTAAACCCCCTTAGCTCTTCTCCTTTCGAATTCTAATGCTAAAGTGCCCTTCCTTCCCCGCTGATTCCTGTGTTCATCATGAACGTGGTGGTGTTGCACTGTTGCTTCCTTCGCGTGCAGTACTGGAATCTTCTTCCCCCCTGTCCGTGTCCTCGTCTCCTCCCTCCCTCTCTCTCCCTAAAGAAACGATGCTACGCAGCTCCACCAAACAACGCATGTGTATGATGTTGATGGACCTGCAACAGCAAAACAAAAGTCGCCGTCCACCCACTCTTTGCTGTGTGTCTCACGCAACAAGCCTGGAATCAAAGCACACACATAACAAAAACTATGTGAGCTTTTGTCGTTTTGGTTTAGAAAGGTTGGCGTGGGAGTGCTTGTTTCTCTTTTGTGCTGGTGGCTGTGGACACCGGAGGTGTGGGAGTCATGTGTGACAATTATATGTTATGATGACCTTTGTTATTTTAAGTTGATGACGATGAGACAAAGCTAGATGGAAGTAATCAGATATAGTATGTGGTGTTTGGATGGAGACAAACGTATAGGAGCTTCAAGCATGCTGTGCCCGATGCATGTTAACGGTGTTAGGATGCATGGGAAGCAAGTTTCTGTAGGGTTCTAACTGGGAAAGTAGATGATATAAATGATTGAGACTGGTTGTTCGTTAGATCTCGAGCAACGGATATGATTGGCAACGATGGCTATCGTCTTGGCTCTCAACTTCAAATCTGAGATGCAGACAGAAGCACATATGGAAACATCACAGTTTGGCATCGGTAATTGAGGATTTCTAGAGCTGCATGTATGCGTACACTGATAAAGTATACAGGCAGATAAGAGAGCATAAGTTATGATCCGTCATTATTTTTCTAAATAATAAGAATAATCGTTATTAAATTTCACAAAAAAGATGTAAAATATGATTGGAAGGCTGCTAATCATATGGCTGACGATGGTCTTTGAAGCATTGGTTTTAATTAGGAACAATGAAATGGATGTCTTGGGGTTTAAAAGACCTGCAATGCAGAGAACCTGAGATGAAATGTACAGGGAGACGGACAAGTCAGGTGACTCCGACGAGGGGTTTTTAGGGTTCTACTGCAGGTCAAAGGAGGCTACTGATGTTGTCGTACTTGAGCTGCTTGCCACTGTTCGCACGTGTGGTGTTCCCAGTGAAGTCATCTGATAACCACCTGCCATCAGAGAGACATGGGCCTCAGACCTACAGATCTCATTGCACGCCATAGAGAGGTGTGCCATGCTCAGATCCTTTGCTCTCCGAGGGACCGCACGCACCTCTGTCAGCATGTGTGGCGCTGTGGTCGTCTTCTTACCCATCAGATACAAGACAACAGAAACGGACAAGAAAATGGCGTGGGTGTAGCTCTTCACTTGGCCATGGCTTGTTGGTTGTCGAGTGATATGCCTACTGTTTACTGCGGCCACTCAATCCACACGGTGGTATCGTGCATGTCGTTTTTGCGTATACCTGTTTTGAGCGTTCCATGTATACATATATATATGTTTTATGTCTCTTTGACCATATTGATCTCCTGAAGCAATTCTATATCTTTGCTGATTTATATGTTTATAACATATTTATCTCATGTAATCTCTGTCAGAAAAAGAAAATAACATAATCATCTCACTCTTGGCATTCACCAAATGGGTGGCAGATGACAGTGTGATCCACAAAAAGTTTCACCCGAGTGGATCAATCAGATGCTGAAGCAAACAGTGAAAAAGGATGCAGCAGGCACATTTCTTTCAGGAAATGGGAGAAGCCACGAGCCTCATGTCAACAGCTGCACGAACAAGCTTAGAAAGAAGACTACAGCTATACCAAAAGGATCGAAGCATTTCATTCATAACGCGAGCTCCACCAGGCACGCTCCTTCCATGCATGTGCATGCTGGATAGAGATATCCTGTTCTTCTACCTTTCTTCCCTTCCTTTTACGTGTGATCTCTCCATCCCATCAGAGACGAGATTTCTCGAGATATTATGTGATTAATATCAGTAACTTGTCATCCATGGGCTTGAGATATGTAAACATCAGATCTCAGGGATTTCTGAGACGGAGAAACGGGAAGACAGGTTGCAGAAAGATGATGGCTCTGATGTGGAGGGGAAGTGGGCGGGGAATCTGCAACACATGAAGAGCGTCGAGGCCTTCTCCTCCCGCAATTCCCGCTCATGTGCCTGTCACGTGTCTCCATTATTATTATATGGGTGATATTTATTTAATGTGATTTGCGCCTAATCATCACCTTATGGGATTTAATTAAAGGTTTTTGGAGTCAACGACCAACTGCGGTCAACCGCCGTACGTCACGTGCACTTCCACCCGCCGCTTCGTCGCCTGCCTGGTGAGAGAGCAGCCGTACGATCCGATCTCGCCCACGGGAACGTTACGGCGGAAGCACGTCTACCGACGCGATGTAAGCACGCGCGAGGCCGTGAAGAGACGCTGGCGTGACGGCGTTAGTCCCCTGGAGGAAACGGCGAGCGGGCGACGGGAAACGATAAATAAAAGCGAGAGGGGCGGAAAAGGAAGTGGGTTGAGCGCGGCGTGTTGAGTTGAGATCTTGGCGGAGCCGCTCGTTACTTCCTGTGCGAGCGAGGCGAAATTTTCCTGAAGCAGAAATACGCCACGATCTCTTCCTCTGTTCCGATTCCGTCTAAAACGAAAGTTCGATCGGTCTGCTCTGTTGAATGCGCTCGGCTTCTCCTCCTCAGGTTAGGGATTCAAGAGAACTCTGTCGTAGATGAGATGGAGCCTTCTTTTCTTTTTCTCTTTTGTGAACTTCTGATTTCAGCAAAGGATTAGTCTGATACCGCGGGCGATCGATTAGTTCTGCTTCCGCAGGAAGACAATTGGGTGTAATTCTACTGCTGTCGTCATGAATCCTTCACGAGAAACCGCAAAAGATAGCAATTTGGAGTGAGTGAGGAAAAAGGTTTTTCTTTTGGTGGTCAGGGAGAATGGAGCTCCAAGGTAAGGCTGGATGCCAAGAATTCCTATTTGTGTTCTTGCTATTTATTGCTGAATTATGATGATTTTTTAGTCAATTTGCATGATATACAGGGAAGAAGGTAACGCATGATTTCCTTTCGCTTTGCTCCCCGGATTCGTCTTTCCAGCTTCAAGATCCAAGGGCTTCATCTCAAGGTACTCATCTGCTGGCTCCACAATTTCGATTATGCCGCAGAATTCAGTAGAATTCTACTGTTAATCGATGAAATTTCACTTTTTCTTTTTTGTTTGCTGTAATCATTGTGAACTCGATTTTTCTATTTCGATGCCTGATTGAAACGCTTTCTGAGAGAATCTGGGACAAGATCGAGGAGACATTGGCGACTCGGCTCCTTGCATAATTCACTGAATTTGGCATCAAAATCGCAGCTTTAACACGAATAGCTTCAAATTCACTGAATTTGTCATCAAAATCTCGTTTTTCTTCTTCCTAATTTTGTTGTCAGGTTTGTTTTTGAAGACGCGGGACTTCTTGCAGCCGTTGGAGCGGGAGGGGAAAGGCGGCGAGGCGGCGGACGGCGGAAGCGTCCCTGCTGAGAGAAACGCGTCCAGCATCAGCCACATCGGGGCGGGGCAGGGCGCGGAGAAGCCGGAGGGAAGCGCACTGCGGGTGCTCCCTATCGGGTTGCAGACGAAACCCGAACCCGATTACGGCAGCCGGAGCACCACCACCAGCTACGGCTCCTACGCCGGCGGTGTCTCGTACACGCTCTGGGACGACAACGACACCGCATCCAGAGGTAACTTCTCGTCAGCTCGGTGCCCTCTTTCTTTCTTCCTCTCTTCTCATTCTAATCCCCCCATCTATCGTCCTTATTTTCTTGAAACAAATATACGTAAAAATGTCTTCTCTTTTAAATATTCAAACGAATTTGAGAATTATACCCATTTTTTTCTTAAAAAAGAGTTGGATTTTTTGAGGACACGACCAAATTATTTGACCTCAGTTTTGTAGTGAATGTGTGTAGATTTCTTGTTGTTTCAGGACGCATCCATTCCATCCATCAAGGTCTCATGCGAATCTTAAAGATACTATATGACCAGATATACCAATGGGGAGTGCTTCCCTCCCCCATCTACAAGGGGTGAGGGGGAGGGAAAAATCCCCATTATGAGGTCTCTATATTTTTCATAATTAATTTATTTTAAATTAAAAATTAATTAATAATATCAATATTAAAATTTATAAAATAATCATAATTATTGAATATTGATATTATTTTATTTTATTTTATTCAATCAAACCAAATAACTTATAATTGATTTTATAATCGATCAATCAAGACTTAATTCAATTTAATTTGGAGTAATATTTACTGTAGTAATATTTGATAACTGAGTGAAGAAAGAAGAAGGATGTTGATGTGGGGCCCCAAATTGATTTAATTGGTGGTAGGGCTTCACCACCATAAATTAGTGGAAGAACGAAAGGAATGGTGGAAGTGGTCATGTGATACAATAGACATGTACAATGGTTTCGATTTAATATATGGAAGATTTATGGATTTTGGAATGCTATGTATTGTATGGTATGGCCTCCTAATCTTTGCATGCTTTTGTCTCGTTCTCAGGGCAGTGGCCTCCTCCTTCCTTGGCGGCCCTCGTCGCCACCAAGCACACTTGGGCGCCGGAGAAGAAGCGATTCATGGAGGCAGCCGCGTCGAGATCCAGCCGTGGTTACCAAGTGGATGACGAGGAGGAGGCGTTTGGAAAGAGACAAGGCTCCTCCTCCTCCCATAAAGGTAGCTCCTTTTTTCCCTCTTTTTTCCTTTCGATTCCATGTTAAATGATTTTGACGTTGTTAAACTTTTTGTCTGGAGCGGAAACAATATGTTGTTTTCTTTGTTTGGTTAATACTGTATGGCAGCAGACTCGAGCATCAAAGCAGAAGGAAGGGCGTTTAGCTCCGAAGAGAGGCCAAACACTCCACGGTCCAAGCATTCTGCCACCGAGCACAGAAGGCGAACCAAAATTAATGACAGGCAAGTCAACGCATTATCTGAGCATTTTCGATATTCAATACATTGTTAACGTATGCTTTAAAAAATAAACGCATATTTGTGGAGACAGCGATATAAAGTTACAAGTTATTATATTATCCGTTGTGTCTATAAATTTTCCTGCTCCAAATGATTTTGAGTTGGCTAAATGTTGCAAGAACTTGTGTTGTTAAACGAGGAAACATAATCTAGATTGTGTTAATTGAGATGCTACTTCAATACTGTGCCTTTTTGTGATGCTATAACCAATAAGTAGAGTTAATTTAACAGTCTCTGATAGAATACAAAACTGTTGTGCAGATTTCAGATACTAAGGGAGCTCATACCTCACAGTGATCAAAAGAGAGATAAAGCATCATTCCTTCTGGAGGTATCAGTGTATCGTACAATTATGTCTCTTCTTTCTATGATGGTGTCCTTTTGAGATTTTGTTGGTGAAATTTCCATCAGGTTATTGAATACATCCGCTTCCTGCAAGAGAAGGCACAGAATTACGAGTCATCTTACCCGGGATGGAATCAGGATGAGATCAAGTTAATGCCTTGGGTAGAATCACTAAGCTCAATCTACATGTCATGTACAAGTCTGCCTTTCTAATTAGCTCTCATACCTTGTGTCTTCTTCCTCACCATGTTGGTTTTCTTCTCTTCCGAGTGTTTACAGCAGAAGAAGAACCCAGCCTCAAAAAATGCTTCTCAAATCATAAGAAATGATTCTGCTGCTCCTGCACAAATATTGTCTGAAAAGCTCGAGAATATGCCATCGACAATGGTTGGCTCACCAGCAACAGATGTGCCTGCTGGTAATTCTTGCAAGACAACAGAAGCTGCCACCAGGTTTGCAAGTAACATGGCAATCCATGATCAATCTCCATGGTCAGTAAGATCATGCAGGGATATGTTGAATGAACCAGAGGAGCTGGCCCTCGATGAGGGAACCATTAGTGTGTCCGCTGCCTACTCCCATGGGTATGTGTTAGCGTATCTACAAATCCTTTGCACATTATATCCTTCGAGACTTCAACCACAAGTCTTTTTTGTTTTTCTCTGGATTTGCCTTTGATCTTATGAGCAATTGTTTGATATTTGATTGTTGTTCTTTGATCCGGTAATTTTCTCGAACAGGTTGCTGAATACACTGACCCAGGCATTGCAAAGCTCTGGTGTAGATCTGTCTAGAGCCAGCATATCTGTGCAGATCAATCTTGGCAAGCGTGCAAAGAGAACTGCAGCCACAGCCACTATTAAGGTGATGAGGACTCTTCTGTTCCAAGATATTAACATCTCTACTCCAGTTCTTAAACAACAAATGATCTCCATTCCACTTCTGTTGGCATATCAACTGTAGTCAGCTGAAATCAACCATTCTACCATCCCAAAATACTTTCGACTTATTACTGTAAACCTTGTAATCTTCAAGTTGACTTTAGTACTGATACTATCCCCCTTTTTATTTTTCTTTTGCAGGAACAGAAAGATCCTGCATCTATTTTTCAATCATCTAAAAGACGCAAAGCTGAGAACAGCTAATACCAGTTTCTCGGTCATGACTTTTTATTTTGTCCTGAGGTTGAGCTCTTCAGATTATTGTATATTGTGTATTCAGGAATTTCATTGAGGCTGATGAGAACTGTTGTGCAGTATCTCATTTGTGTCATGTCTCTTTCATGGAGGCTTCCATTACAAATTGTGAAGCTGCTCTATTTTTCAGGCTTCCACTCACATGCGGAGTCTCTTTTCATTCTTCTGCTAAATGATTCTTGCTGTAACATACAATGAGTTGTAACTCAGTGTCCCTTTGGGTTAGGAAATATTCTTATGGACAGACCTTTACCTTTGGCATTTAAATGCATCAGCTTGAATTTTCTTTTCTTCTTCACAACTTGAGTGGAAGCAATCTGATTTCAAATGCTGCACAGTTTTGAAGTATCATATCACCTGCAATATGATTGTATCAAATGAATTGTTCATAAACTACATAGCACATGTGCAATTAGCTCCAACTGTAACTGGAACTTGGAAACTTCATAGCATGTGCTATTAGGCATGCGACAATTGACTCAGAGAGTTTTCAGGATCAAGTAGTTCAAAATCATTTAGCAACTGGCAGCTAATCTCTCCAACATTTTAAACTGCAGCATGGCATTAATAGTTGCTATCTGATAGCAGAACCTAAAGATAAGGTTTTCAATCATAGAAAATATTAAATTTAGGCTTCCACTGTATGTAACAAACTGTAAGGCAAACAACACATAATTGGGACATCAAAACATGTCGTTGGCACAGAATCAACAATAAACCACATAATAACAAAAGTTTTAGAGAAAGTATGCAACAACAAGCATGGGGATGGTGATACAGCATTAAAAGATCAACTAGACACCAAATTGCCACAAAATTCAGCCACAATTAAGACCAAAAATGAACAGGCATCCATAGGCACACAATCGGCCATATAGAGCTTCCGAAAACCAAGCACTAGGAACTTAAAAAACATAAACTCATCAGCAAAATCATATGCATTCATTGATTGGTGAATATGTTATAAAAATAACATTGTCACATAGTCAACCTGTGAGGTTTTTCAAAGAAATATGTTGTTTAGGTGGACTGGATTACCCTCTAAAAACAGTTGGAGCTGATGTTATCTCTCACAGTCCTAATGTAGTGGGGTCCACATCCATGCGCCTTATAATCACATCCTAGTAGAATAACACTAGAGATGAACAGAATCCCTTTTGAATGACATATGACACAATTGGCAATAACCTTTGCAGTAGAACCAGATGGCAAATGGAGCAAGAATATACCAAATTGACAACATATAACAAAAAAAAAATTAATATAGTTTCAAATAACCAAATAATGGTATGAGTTTCTACATCATTTACTACATGGACTAAAAGAATCAAAATGTTTGATAATCCGAATTGCCACATGATAACCATGCAAAATAAGCATGACCAATGAATTGAAAGATGGGTCATGTATCATCATCCATATTTATGCACATGCCTTCACATGTTTAGGATTCCACTTTTACCAAACTTGAACACAAGTAATGGAACATGTTCCTAGTGCAGACAAAGGGCCATATACCAGTAGTTGATTAAATTGGGTTCTCTTTATGGAGGATCTGGCCATGAAAAAGTGAATGCTTGGATAATGCGACACATCCCAACTAAAATAGGATGGCCAAGTTCGAATCACTTCCACATAACAGCTTGAAATATAGAAACATAAAAAAAAACTACTAAACTTAAGCAGCATAGTCAAGCGCAACCAACATGATAAATACTGCAAACCAACATCCATGTAGAAACATCAGCTGCAAGTTTTAAATCACCGATGTGCAAATCATAAATTGGTTTAATCCTAAAGCTAGGTATAATAAGCAAGAACAAGTCATAAACTGCCAGTCATGTATCCAGTTATAACCCAAACAAAACCAAGCTATAAGCCAATGTTGAATGAGATAGCACTAGATAATCACATAACTTTAAGAAACCAAACCTAACCTATAGCACCTCCCTGAAAAGGGATAACCAAAAGGCTAAGCACTTCTTACTGCTTAAATAAGCAAAAATAAAGTTTCAAGAAAAAGTCAATAAGATATATATAATATGTAGGTTGTACGATCAAACTGGGAAACCTGAAAGTGGAGTGGAGCCAGCGTGTTTGATTCAGTTCAGCGCAGTTTTTGTAAATCTAAAATGTTTTAATTCCTAGGCTCAGTTTTAAAAGAAAAAGTAACTTATACACAAGAGTTATCTCAGTGAAGTATCACATGAATCATTCCAAATAACATATGAAGCAACTGGTTGCTACCCAGCTGTCCTGAGATCCATACAAGACTAATCAGTACTTATCATAGAGCAGCTAGCAAAATTCGTAAAAGTAATCCAGATCCAGTTACAACAAAACTGAGGAATGCCTTTATTCGATTGGTACTTACCCGCCAGTTCTTTAAAATTTTGGAATTTTAGCTCTTCATAATATGTTCAGTGTTACCTTTTCAGCTCTTGAGAGACATGCAAAGGCTTATTTAATCAGATTAGGTGCTGCTAAATGGAATGGTGAGACAAATATATCAGGTTCATGGGTTCAAGAAATCTGCTTCAACCGCAAATATGCTGCATCATTTATCATCAATTACTAGTTTGCTCCCTATTAGATTTAGGATTTTAAGTTCTAAAGTAATGAATCACCGAAAAGACTAACAATAAAGTGTATGATCATTCGGATTCTAGTTACATGAGATTCCACCCAGAACAACAATTTATTGAGTGCAAAGCCAGAAAAAGTTGCAATATTTCTCCCCATCAGAATGATTTAAGGAAGATAAAACGAGATAGAATCAGAGCATAAAAGCTTTACATGGCATCACATGACCCGCCTCTCCGCGGCCTCGGCGACGAGTGGCAACCGCGGAACCTGCCCCAGGAGGCATGCCGTGGAGCCGTAGACGAAAGACGCGAGCAGGAACAGGAAGACGGTGCTGTCGAGGGTCTGGAGGAGCTCCAGCCCGATCCCGCCATTGGGGTTGAAGGTCCGCTCGAGGAGATCCGGGAATATGAGGAGGACGTCGAGGACGATGGCCTGCATGGTGTTGAAACGGACGAAGAGGCCGAATTTGGATGGATTGCGAACGACGGCGAAGTAGAGGGTGAAGAAGAGGAGGGAGGGGGTGAGAGGGGAGGAGCGGAAGAGGTGGATGGCAGGTACAAAGGGCTGGAGGACAAGCTGCAAGGCAGGGAACTGGGTCAGCACGAAGCGCCCGTAGTGGACGCCGTCGAGGAAGGGGTAGAGATAGCAGGCGGCGGCCAGGATGCGGTCCGGGGGGTCGGCGGGTTCGCCGTTCTTGGTGGCGCGGGCAACGAAAGAGTCGAGGAAGCGGCGGCGACACCGGGAAGAGATGCCGGGGAGCCGATTGAGGTGGCGACGGTGGTGGTGGAGGAGGAGAGGAGAGGGTTTGGGGGAGAGGAAGAGAAGAGGAGAAGAAGCCATTCGCTACTTCTTCGTCCTGTGATCTCGTGGGTTTCGGTGTCTGGAGAAAGGGGAACGGTGGCACAATGCAAATAAAGCAGGTCAGGCCGGGTCGGTCTGTATTGGGCCTAATTGGGCCGTACTAAATCTCAACTAAAATTATAACATAGATAAGCCCAAGACCAGCCCATTACAACACGAGACCTAATAAGCCCCTAAAAGGGTTCATCTTCTTCTTCTTCACAGAGTTAGGCCTAATAAGCCTAAAAGGGTTCTGCTTCTTCTTTCTTCTTCTTCATCTATCAGCTATCATCTGGCAAGTATCAGCTTTAGGTTCACAATCTTGGAATACTCGATCACAGAGCCTCTTTGTCAACCTCGGTTAAAGCCTTCAGATGTACTGCTTCAGTTCTGGACAGGCCACCACAGATCATCCTTCCTGAAATGTAGCTGCAAACCCCAGCCAAAAAGGTGAAGACTCCAAAGTGTGACCACCACTTGGAGCGTGGCAACAATCCATTATATGTTATCTTTGGTTGCAAGAACACTTGCGGTTGGCATTTGGGAAAACAAGATAAACTTGTTCTTAATGACAGGAGATTTACCATATTATCTATCATGTCATAGAAGAAGATAGCTCTTAGGAAGTCCTGAAAGTGTTTACACAAGAACAGGCTGTGTAATCCAAACAACTTCTTGAAAAGATAATGCAGCCTCTTCAACTGTGATCATCCAACTTAATTTTCAGATCACAAAAACACAAACAGAAATCAGTGCTCATCTGATCAGAAAACAAAAACAAAGTCCAATTGTAATTGAGATGTCCAATACTTTTCATCACATCCAGCTGATCAGATGTTATTTAGCATCTCAAGGCATGGACCCCAACATCAGAAAAAGTTCTCAGAAAGTAGCTCAAACTTCAACAATTTCTGCCACTATTTAATTGGCTCATTGGATCACACACCAGGAGATTCTTCTCCAACACAGTCCTGTTCTTTGGGTCCATTTTATCCTCCCAGTTCACCAACCATAGTCATCCAATCCTTTGCTCCATAAATGACCACTGAACTCAGTGCTAACAGAAACAAAGCTTGGACCCCATCCTGGAAGGCAATGCCACAGATTTAAGTGCTAGTGGAACTAAAAAATAAGAGAAGACTCGAGATGCTACTGCAATGCAGTCCCATTCAACCTTTGGAAAATTCATCATCACCACCTACCAACTAATAGGGCAACTTTTGGAGTTCAATGATATGCCCAACTGAAAACAAAGCATGAGATGATGACTTTACACCATCTTGAATGATGTAAGAATGGTTTAATCTGAACATGAACATAGTCAATGATGATACAACATTTTTCTTGGTATTCAGCATGTGGAACTTCATGGTGCAAAAGCAGTAGCTACTCTTGGATCCCAATATCTTAATTCCATAGGCTAACATGTAATAATGGAAAAGGAATTGCTAATAGATAATACTTCATGAGTCTGCCATATAAATGAGGTTTAATTGGCACTAAACATGTAGTCTAAACACAACAAACTGTCAAAAAGAATTCCCCATTCCACTATGATCAAGCCATAACAAAGCTCAAATTTTGCCTTCTTTTTCTCTCTAGCTCTCCTCATTTCCAAAGGATGACATTATTTGGAAATCGCACTTCAGCAATATTTATAGACACAAGCATTTGTTGCATGTATTGATGTTTATTTCTGAAAGAATTTGCTTGCATGAACATGCATATACCCTTGTCCAAATGTAACTTAGAGAAAAAAACCTGATGGAGCAACAAAAGAAGGAATCAAACTTGCAGTGGAGATAACAGCAAAAATTTGAACTTGAATTTGAGAG